AAATTGATTGCGATTTAAAAATCACTAATTCCCAAGGTAATAAACTGGGTTTAAACTGATTCCATAGATTAAGAACAACAGCGTCTATAAAGTTTCTTTGGTTACTAAAAAGAACACCTAACGCAGTTACAAATCCATACAAACTAGCAAATACGCCTAAACAAACAAACCCGGCTGTGTTCTTATATGCTCTTAAGTTATGAACTCATAATCCAGTGAACAATGAATGACCTGGAGCCCATTATATCCAGGTAATGGATAGCGATGGAGGAATGAATGACGCTGCAGTGAAATTGGATGACAGAGGGTCAAGCAATTTATGGTCATTTGAAAACCTCACGCTATTTATTTCTGGCATGATAAAAGAGGCTGTGAGGCACGGCTGTATTCGTAGTATCTTAAGCCCGTAAATGGTGCTTAAAAGAGAGCGCCCTCGATGGAGGGGGAGATGTTTTGCGGCTTTATTCATTACTTTGATTGGAAATAAGTCGCTATTGACATTTTCACAACGACACCAAGGCCAGATTTTAATGGCAGGTTACTATTAGCTGAACTAGCGCTAATATTCCCGTGTATAAATGGAGCATTGGTTTAATCTGAATGTTATAATTGGATTTTGGAGTTTGGATTCAATTCATTGAATTGGAGTTTGCTTCGAAATGCTTTGAAAAAATCTGTCGCAAACGGCTTATGCAAATGAACGAAAAGGGAGAGCAGAGAACGCGCGGACACGCGCCAAATAACTAATAAAGGTAAAATAAAATACAATCTGATTTTAAAAGACGGCTGTACAATTAATATATTAGCAAATCAGACAGGAATTGTGGTGTTTTTTAAAATATGTGGTTGTAATTTGTACTCTTCCTATTTGAGAAAAACTAGAAAGAAAACGGAACCAGATCCAGTAACGCCACAATTAAGCAGGAGAAAACGGGTATTTGCTGAACTGGTTACCCGCGCGGAGCTTCGGGCTTTGCCTTCAATAGACAGCGATTCACATCCACCGACTGCACTGAAAGAAAAAGCCGTAGTTTTACCAACCCTTCATTCGCTTCAGGTTCCATACACTCCACAGTACGGAATCAATGTGATATTTATTGGTAGCAATTATGTTTTCATTAATGTTAAATGCTATCCTTTGTCCGTTACAGATACAGTAACTAATTACAAATTACAGTTTAGTCCAGTATTACAGGTAAATCCAAGGGCAGAATTAATTAAAATATACCACTTTTATTGTTTTACATTTATAAGCATATGAAAACTAGTTTCTTTTTTATTAACTTTCCTGTTTTCTGTAACAATGTGTCTCACTATATTAGACCTATTATGTATTTTTGGCTGCATTTGAAATAACTTTAAAAAGTGATACATACATCTTTTTTTTGGAAGAGATTATTTAAACATTAACAAAAGGGGACTTTTCTCTTGTTCAAGTTCCTTTAGAAAAGAAAAACGTGCAATGAGAATATGACAAAAGGAAATACCCCCATTGGATACCCCCAGCATACTACACCACATTTGCAGAAATATTAATTTCCTTCCAAAAAAAACTAAAGTTCTTAAACAAATCCAGTATAGAACCATAGCTCTAATGGAATTAGACCTTTTGTGTTTCCAAATTGAAGGTCTGTTTTTTTTTGTAGGAAATACTATCTAGTCTTTAGCCTGGACTTAACATGGCATGTAAGGGACTGGGCTGCCAGTTTATGCAGCCCCAAATCCCAGGAGGGGTCTGGCCCCAGTACCCCTGGGCAAGGTACTTGACCTGAATTGATCAAAAACTATCCATCTGTACAAACGAATAACACGAATGTAATAAACATGTCAATCGTCTCAAAGGTCCTCTAAATACGAGTGGTAGGTAAGCAATATTATAAATTTTATGAAGGATACTAGAAAAAAAGAATTATTGTGCCTGAACAGACTTTAAAATATGGATAAAAAAAAACTGTACTCTACGTGAACTGCACACAGATTTTATAAACATAGCACATGGTACCTGGTAAACACCTTGGGTGGCATAATTAATGTTTTTTTGTTTTGTTTCGCATGTTATCCCCTTGCAGGATTCTGCTTTGTACTCTAAAGCCTCCAATGACATGAGCTTTGGTGAACTGTCATCTGTGAATTGTCCATAGCATGATGATCGTGTGTCGAGGTCTACAGCAGGATGGACTGGCATCCTGCCCGGCGTGTGTCTGGCCCTGTGTTCTGCACTTGCTGGTAGAGTTTCTAGACCAGGGGTCTCAAACTCCGGTCCTGGAGAGCTACTATCCAGTAGGTTTTCTGTCTCACCTGGCTTCTGATGAGCCACACCTGCTCCTAGTATTTACCTGAGAACAGGTGTGGCTCATCAGAAGCCAGGTAGGATAGCAAACCTACTGGACAGTAGCTCTCCAGGACTGGAGTTGGAGACCCCAGTTCTAGACTCACCAAGACACTGTACTGGATAACCAGTACGGGAAATAATACAAATGGTGTAATCAAATCAAATCATTATTCAATACAAATGGTCATTTGATTATGTTGCATTAATTTATAGTAACACTTTACTTGAGGGGCACAAGTAACTTATTAAGTCAGTTACTACTCAAGTACTAATAATGAAAAGTATAGTAACTGCATGAAATACACAAACAATTATGACTGATTAATGATGAACGAACATGGGATCAGGACATAAAACTTAGGCCACGCCTACACGTACACAGGTATTTTTAAAAGCGTAGTTTGTTCTATGCGTTTTGGCCTTTCATCCACACGCAAATGGTGTTTTATGTCACTGAAAATGGAGCTTTTGTAAAACCTCGTCGTAGGTGAAGATTTTCAGAAACTGCACTGTTGTCCACTTTGACATCAGAGCGGGTGCTGTTCGCTGTTTACATTAGCCGTCTTTAGCCTAGCAGAACATGGCTTTCCAGTTAGAGTTATATCGCCCCCTGTTGGTTTGGCGTGCTCTTGACGGCGCATTTCAGGGTTATCATCTGAACAGAGATTTTTTTTTTTTATAACGAAGGAGGAAAAACACCCTTTTTAAAAATACCCATGTACATGTGGACAAGGCCTTAGTTTTTGGTTAATTAATACATTAAAGTAAGAGTGTACAGACGCTCCTCTACTTATGAATGAGTTACGTTCCAAACAGTCGTTCGTAACTTGAAATGTCCGTAAGTCGTTATTCAACATCATTTTAATGGTATACGCAAGTACAAACAACTAGGGTGCTGGGAGTACGCACGCTATGCTGCTGCACGTTGGGAGTAGCAGCCAGAAGGAATTGGCGCACAGAAAGGAAAAATTGATGTTGCGGACAGGAAACAGGAGTCCAATGAACACAATTTGGACTTACTGTACAGCCCTCTTCGTTCGTATGTCTGAAAGTTCATAAATTTAAAGTTTGCAAGTACAGGAGTGTCAGTACTACTACATTACTTGTGCAAAATGTTACAATTTATTCTGATATCATTAAAAAGGCCGACTACAGGGATTAAGCAAGCAGTACTAACATGTCAGTCAGCAGCAAAATGGGCAGCAAGAAAACATTGTCGCTAATTTCCTGGCAGCTTGATTTGTTGCTTATAGTATAACACAGCAGTCGGGCAGAAGCTTTTTCACGGATGCCCATATTAATTATTGTTGTGATAAAACGTTTAATGATCCGACTCTTCTAAATCTCTATTGATCTCTTAAATTTATTGCTCAATTAAAGAAACGCCTGTTGAAAGATGATTACAAATCATTACTGCAGGCCAGCAACGCTGTAAGAGTAGAAGATACAGCAAAGAGCATGTGCATCTCACTTTAAGGGTTATTTCACATATACTCATGTGATTTAACATTACTACAAGCTAGAGAACCAGAAATGGAACACATTTGTTCCAATGTGATGAATTCTTTTCAGTACAGTTTGCTGGGGAGTATTTTTTTTCTATCTGACTTTATTAATTTAGAACATGGTTGCAGTTTTTTTTAGAGTAGAAACTATGATTGGTTTAAATAACCACAGTTATGTTTTAATCCAACAATGAAAAAACATTTAAAATATTGAATATAAAAGGATCTGGATACCATTAACTGTGCTTTGGCACAATTTCAGAATTGTGGTACTCTGACAATAAATTTCAAAAACAGACGTATTAGCTAGAGTATTTACAGCAGTAATGTACACTATACACTAAAACGGTATATGAAAACATCAAGGAAACTGTATTTAAATAGTTTTATCAGGAAGTGAAGGTTGGTGGTAAAATTGATAAACTGTTAATGTATAATTCTATACAAAACCACATAAGTTGACTATAAACAAAAAATAAAGTATATAATAAAAACATTAACAGCAATATAGTTTTCAGTTCATAACACTTTTTACCAGGTACTGTATTTACTTCAGACCAGGACAAAAATGGCAATTGTTCTTCCAATGGATGTTTTGTTGTTTGTTTTATGTCTTCTAATATAGAGGTTGAGAAAGATTATAAATTACCGAACGTGGACAACTATTGAATGGGTAAGAAAAAACAGCCATATTGACTTTCCTCTACCACACAAGGTTAGGTCGGGGGTGTGACAGAATAAATACAGACACCAAGGGTTTTCAAATCTAGGCTCTGGCCTCTACACCACAACAAAATGGGATCCAAAAAAGTGCAGATTTTTAGCCAATGAAACAAGCCTATCAAACTAAGGGCAGAAAATTTGGTTTAAATGTTTAAAAATGAGTAAAACAAGTTGGTCATAAACATTTTAAGCATCATGCCAGTAAAGGATGAGAATGTTTTGACTTCTGCTTCAATCTTAACACAAACATGTCATCTTGAACGTTGATTTGATTGTTTTTTTAAAGACAAACGATAAAAAACACCATGCATACCTATGTTGCTCCTTGAGCATACTGCTAATTTTTTCCTTCCATGAGTATGAGGAATAAATGAAAAGCCTTGAGTGGAAGAGGGGAAATCTCCCGCAGAGAGCTAGACACAAGCAGAGAGAGGCCCTACCTGCAAGGAGTTGAGGATGACGAAGAGGAAGGCCATCACAATGGAGAACGGTACCAGGACCCCGGATAGCCAGGTAAGACCCAGGATTGGGAGCAGCACCATCACCGCCTTCACCGCAGCACTGGAACAAATCCGCCCCCCCTTAATGAGGTGTGGAAGGACCCCACAATCTTTACACAGAGCCATGAGTCAGCGCTCTGGTCAAACTGGGACGCTGCCCGTTACACTAGATCTGGTACCGGCCAGTGAGATGTTCCAACCCAACGGAAGCTGCCAGTTTGAGTCACATCGTGACCATTTCCATTCTCCTAGTCTTACTTAATTTGGTATAGCAGGAAAACTGGCTAAAGTGGTTTGACTGACATGTACACTCTAACTTTGAGGGTTTAGTACTCTGACATATACACCAAAGACACATCACTAACCTGTGAGGATCTATTTTAAACTGAGGAAAGGTGAGTAGCAAGAACTCAGCCTTTTTTTTCCCTCACAAGCGAGTAACGTTACAGAGGAAGCTTGCGTATGATTAATGACTATCAGTAAAAGTGCCCTTTAATGTAACTTTCTTAAACATAAGCAAACAGTGCAATATATCAAATAATTTGGACACTGTTCAAAGAATATCAATAGAGGAAGGAAATAGCTTTGACAAGGAAAGCATTTAGGTGAGTTACACCCTGAACGTGCTGCCTTTTCTTAGAATCAAGCAGAAAATGCTGACCGTCACACAGACAGTCATTTTTCACCAACAAAAGCTTTTAACAAGAACATGAGTGACTAACAGACCCATTTTTGTTCAAAACCAACAACCCCATTTGCCATTGAAGCCCTGTTTTTGGACACCAGGAGAGATTATAACTATATAAGTGAACTGAAGCTAAAGTAATGTGAAGTAATACAAATTAAAGAATAAGTAAAGTTACATACGCGAGATCACAATTTGAACTGAAAGAAAACTGACTGAATTCAAAGTGGACGGCTAGTGACAAAAGAAGAAATGCTGCCCTCTAGCGTCCACTGATGAGTAGCTCACCGGGTCTGCTCAAACGTTTGCTCTGCAGGACTGCTTTTCAGTGCTAGCATGATGGACCTCCTCTTGGCCGCGGAAATGGCAATAGCCACCACCCGCGCGAGGACCATGACGTTCACCTGGGACGCAAGGACACGGCCAATGAGGCGTGGCGGCAGGGACGGCGGAGCGCGGGCAGGTGGCAGGAGTGCCACAAAAGCCTTACCATGATGATGAAGATGACGGGCCCCACGAAGCCCCAGATGACACCATTCTGCACGCTCAGCCAGCAATGGCCGTCTCCTGCGTACCTCCCAGAAGCCGAGGCCAAAGTGATGGCCACCACCAGAACCGGGAGCCCTGACCCAAGACAGAGGGACTGTCCAGAAAAGTGCTCCAGCCTCATTCATACCTCACACATCCATTCATTTTGAAATACATCTTACAATAAACAATGACTATATCTAAACTACTAAACTGATAAAGCAAAAATTAGATTTTCCAAATTTTTACCCGTAAACAATCTATGAAAGGGGCAAAACACAAATACACTGTCATCCAAAACAATCATGACAATAAAAAGCTTTTCTGGAATCTCCTGAAAGTCACATGACTCAATGAATGACACATGGAAGACAGTCACCAATAGCATGACATTACCCCAGCCAATAAGGTAGTAGTACTTCATGTGTCCTGCCTCGCTCAGGTTGACTGCCACCACCTTGCTCCATAGCAACAGGCCCTCCACCAGCATCCAGCTGAAAGCTGCCATGAAGAAGAGGTGGAGGAGAGCTGCCACTAGAGTGCAGGCCACCTGGGGAAGGGGGGTTGGGGGTGAAGGGGCAGAAGGTTAACTTCTGAGCCTACACCCCTGACTGAAGATAGTCTGGCGTTTGATGGCCATGTTTCGGCTCATGTGCATCATGAAACGGCGGCCCTGACCCTCACCCCGAGCCAAGGACGTAACATAAGGACCATCACCACAGTACCCACAGCAGACAAACACGGCTCCCAATGAAAACCAATTGTGTGATAAATCTATCAGTCTTGTGTGGGGTGAGGCATGGCTGCTGGGCCAATGCGAGAGGCAGGATTGGTCTATGGAAACACACCTTGTTAGTGGCAACTGACCCGCTGCATAGCAGGACTATCTGAGCGGCTGCCAGAGCGACGAACAGATTCCTGTGGACGGTGTTCCGATCCGATTTGGGAATACTGCGGGGAATCAAGAGAATATGACCACAAGTCAGCATCAGTGTCCTTTCAGAATTCCACGTGGCTCTCACATAAAGACTTTGTTTTTTCAATGAAGAATAAAACTTTTGCAGAATCACAAGTTCACCTAAACCACATGTTTTTTTTTGTTTTTTTAAATCATAAGACTGCTGGAAGGAAACACAGAAAATCATGGGAAGGACATGCAAACTCCACAGACAGAGCCAGAGCAGGAATCAAAGGCCAAGCAACAGGGGTGTGAGGCAACAGCGCCACCCACTGGTCCACTGGCCCTCCTCAGTACCCTCTCTGTATATCTATGTTCATTAAATATTTCCAGCATCTTGGCATGAACTGGCTGAACTCTTTAGAGTAGACCATAAATTTCTTAATTAGTAAGCCCTGATGGCAAACGCCTCATAGGATCTCTCTCGGGAATCCTGGGGGTTAATTAACTTTCCCGGTAATGTCGTCATAAAACCTCACCACGGACACGCGCAGACAGCTGTGAGCGTAAACTAATTACAACATAAGCATCGCTCGATGACCGGACGCATGTCACGACAAAGCTCTACTGACAGCGGCAGCCTCTACAAACAGAAGGCGGACCCATGAAGGAAATCTCCACGGCGACGGTCTGGGCAATAATTAGCTGGACGTGTGAGCCCTGGGCCGTCAGCCCAGCAGTCGCTGCCTGATGGGACCGTCATTCAGTGGAGGCTTTTCTATGGAGTTCACTCACTCGAGGACCGTAAAGAGCATCAAGGTGACTATCAGAGCGCAGAGAGATGCTCCACACCCAATGAAAGTCAGCTTGGTCAGGATATCATCTACCTCCACGCTCCACTGTGGGGGAAACACGAAAAAGGACATCAGTTAACACACAGATGTTATGTGATATTCTCAAAATTCATGGGTACTACAAATTTTTACCTAGGGATGCAACTGCTAACGCTAGCAGGATTCTTGTCCTTGGCTACAAAACTGCTAGGGTCACTCCAGGGCACCTTATCCTCAGCCCCTACCAGAGCGTCATGGAGTGCAGGTGGACTGAGGTACACAGCTAAAAATACCACCACCAATGGCTATGCAATTATAAAGACAGTTTCTGGAAATTTCTCATAAATGCAACAACAACACAAAGCACCAAAAAAGTTCCAGCATAGATTTTGTTAGCAACTACTTATAAAAAGATGCTTCCATCAGTTTCATGCCAGTCGTTCTCAAACTAGAACTCGGTGGAAATTAGTGGAAGAACATTTTAAACTGAATTTGAGAAAACACTTCTTTACACAGCATGTAGTTAGAGTATGGAATAATCTTCCTGTTCATGTAGCACAAGCTAAAACCCTGGTTCCTTTAAATCAGAGCTAGATAAGATTTTAACAACTTCGAGCTATTAGTTAAGTTCTCCCCAAACGAGCTTGATGGGCCGAATGGCCTCCTCTGGTTTGTAAATTTCTTATGTTCAGTCCTGGGGGGGACACACAGACAGTGCATGTTATAGCTCCCTCCCTGGAGGGATCAAAATGTGGACCATCTGGGGGGGTCACAGAAATCTGGATAAAGAAACATTGGTTTAGCCTGACTAAGAGTGACACCTGCTGGAAATATAAACTCAATGCGGCGCATGATTCTTCAGGAATTCATGGCTCCTAAACTTCTGGTTGGGAACCACAAGCAAGTCCATGTAAACAATGTGACCCAATACGATCACACATATTATAAATATTATACCATTTAAATAATTTTCAAATATTTATGAAATGAATGCACTCATTTACTGGCCAGTGATCAACAATATTTTGTAACCCCACGCTGTTACGGTGTACAGACCGCTTTCTTGATTCAGAGACCCTCTGCATCTGATTTCAGTCTGTCACACCCAAGACATTTTCACAGCTGGACAATCCATTTCATGCAGCAAATTCCATTCTTCTTACTGCCAACTCTGAGCACCATCTGTGGGACGCAGTACCTTGGGCTCCATGTAATTCATGAGCACGGCGAAGTTGGTGGTGTGGCGGCAGACGCAGGAGGTTGCGGCCGATTCGGTGTGAATGACCTGGCAGCCCTCGCTTGACCAACCATCCAGATGTTGGCTCCTGGGGACATTAGTCAGGGCCGTGTAATTCACGCTTGCTTGGTGCTTTCACGGGGCCTGCAGCTGTACGTGCCACATCTCCAAAACATCATACTTACATCAGGCTGAAGTTCCAAAACACACAAACAGGCTTGATGGACAGCGGGGCGTCCACCTACAGCAAAACACATGTCCCCATTGCGACTGCTTTTAAGACAGAAATAGAGTCACCTGACTTGAGCGATTGCTAGCTAATGAAAGTTCCTCCTGGACGTGCAAATTTCAACACTTTAAAATCTATTACAGTGAAATCTACTAGTTCATAAATAAAACTTAATAAAACTTAATAAAGATCCTTCATTGTTTTGCACAGCACTCACCGTTTCCATTGCACTGTTGACATATTTCTCATAATTGTACTTGTATTTATTGTCATATTGAAGTACCCATCCATACATGGGACCGAACCCAAGACCTTCTTGCTGTGAGGCAGCAGTGCTAACCACTGTGCCACTGTGCCACCCCATATTGATGTACCTTAATTTATATTCGTGCTTTGTGTTTAATTTGTTTTTAGCAATCAGAAGGTTATGCAATAAGCGTATAATGTAACTGACTGTTTTCTATGCATATGACAAACTCTTGAATCTTAATGACGTTTTTATTAAACATCCTGCAATGGAAGGGGATACTGCTTCAATTCTTTACACTCACCAGACTGACTGTAGACAGGGTGTAATTGACGGAAACTGGGATGTTTTGTCTCCTTGAGGAATCTCGCACCGTGGCGGATATGACGGCAGTGGCAAGTCTACCTGTGTGAGGGCTGGGAGAATAGCCACAAAGAGTCAACCAGACAAACGGCGAAGGCAGGTCAGGCGAAGAGAAGACACAACCGTCACCTGCTTGATGAACACGTCGCTACATTTTTTCAGCCAGATTTTTCTTAACTAAAAGCAGATTCTTCCCAGCATCTTTGTTAAAGAAGACTGGGGGAAGACACCTGCACTTGGCATAATCAGAAGAAGGTACTTAAAGTGTCAACGTCCTACCAAACAGCTTAGCTTACTTCAAAATCTAAGCAGAAAAAAACGGTAGTTACACCTACTTCTTTTCTTTCTCACTCACTGATAAACGATTCTGGTACTTCTTCAACTGGATGTCCGTGAGGTTCCTATAATACACGCGGATGAAGATTACATCTTCTAGACCTACCAACAAAAGATACAGAAAGGGTTATTAAATTCACTGCAAGAGCAAGACAGCAGTCTGGGAGAATTAATTGATTATACAGCTATTACATTACGTCAGATTGGAGAAAAGATTAAATCCTATCAATTTTTGCGTGATTCTTACACCGCTCCTTTCCATTTTTTAACAAAAAAAATGGAATGCCAGTCTGATTCAGTAACAAAAAGCCTGGGTTGAAGTCAGTAAGGATTTCTAGTAACTCCAGAAGGTATTTCCTGATTGCAATATGGCCGTCCTGGCTGGGTGTGATGGCTGTCGACTTGGAGCTACGGCAGAGGATTAGTGCTTCTGGGATGAACAAGAAAATGTCTTCGTCCATTTTTAAAACCACAACAGTTTGGGTAAACCTACTCTGCAGTTAACAGTTTCTTTCCTAAAGCCGTGAATTTATTGACCCTGTTCTCATAATGCTTAACCATCTGTACTAAATACTGTCGGTCTTGTCTGGACTTGTATTGTACTGTATGTTGTTCCATCTGTGCTTTGTGTTATAATTATAACTTACAATACAATATGTGCATTAATGTATCCAATGGGAATGACCAGACACACCAGAACAAATTCCTTGTACATCCTTGATAAAATAAATAATGATTCTCAGGAGTCTTACCACAGGCTTTGACCCAAAATCCAGTGGTTTAAACTAATTTTTTTACCATCATGCCATCGCCCTTCCTGGAAGCGGCTACATGCTGAGAAGACAGACAGCGCACAGGGGGAGAGTCCCAGAGCTCACCAAGAGAACGCAGCCGCAGGACTTCCGTGTCGGGGATGATGATCTCGTCCCTGCCGTCTGGTGTGGACGGCTTGAACACGCAGCTGTGGTTCAGCTCTCTTAGATTCTGCTGTTCCAGATTCACATCTGGAAACACCAGCACATGGGACATCACACATAGGGAAAGACCTTGGAGCAATGAAAGTCCGATTTATCAAGTCTAGCCAAGTCACCCAGCAGACGTCTCCCCGCCGCCATAGTAAAAGGCTTTTCCACCGTGTGATTATGGATGCACATGAAATCTTTATCACAGCTCAAGATAGCCTTCAAGAATGAGTAATAACACAAAGTTGAAGCGAAGGCAAAGACACAAACACATAAACAGTGTGATTACTCTGGCTATAGTCAACACGATCTAAAAATGTCCACAAAATCTAAATCAGTACTAGAAACATGCGCTAAACTGGCAATAAAGCCGATTCCATGCAGCAGGCGTGGGTCAGAAGGAAAATGGAGAGTGTGCATCACCTATACCTATATTTTTTGATGAAAATGTGAAGTTCGTCCCTTCAGATGACAGCACATCCGCCAAAGATGCCATCAATTTGTCTATGGTTTCTATGACATTAAAGAACCCGATAGACCCCTGCGTGGGAAAAAGGAGGCATCAGAAGTGCCTAATAAGTGCCCACATTTCCTCAGAGAACAGCACATGTCCACAGGGAAATACTGACCAGCTCTTCACCGAGATCCATCCACCGGTCAGCCAGTTCAGCATCGATGGCTTCACTGGCCAGCTCCAACATTTTGGTGGCCAAAGGCGTGATCAGTTCAGAGGGCATGAGTCTCGCAGAGACGTGCATTGACACAAAATCGACAATTTGCATCAGGTAGAGCATGTTGATGGGTGTAAGGATGCCTGGGTCTGTTGCCAGAACCTTCAGCAGCTCTTTCAGGAAGGCGTTCAGCTCAACGATCTCTGACTCAGTTAAGTTCAACCGGTATGGCTCCACCACCTTTTCCAAAAGTCAAACAAACATGAATTAAGACATTTTACACGAATTACTAAATCTCTCTTCTTACAAGAACACACACAAAATATTAACAAACAATCCATAAGATAAGCACGGATAAAAATGACTATCACAGGATGGTACAGTGGTTTTGGAATACAAGCACTGAAACCTAAAGGAATGCTTAAGACAAAAAAAATTAAAAATACATAACCTAATATTCGGTCTATGCAAGGCCTATATACAGACTTACAGGCTGAGATAGGGGGTCTTTACTCACACTGGAGGAAACTGAAGTCGTGGGAAAGACAATCAGTTTATAAAGACGCTCAAATACATCTACAAAAAAAAAAAAACATGGAGAACCTGAGGTGAAGCTGACATTCAAATAATACAAGTTGAGTTTATCTTGCATGACATTTCCTCAGCTGGAAGCCTGTTCCCTAGTACAATGAGCAATGAACTACACATATGGGTCATTCCAATGACAAATCTTCACACTTTCAGACCTCATAGTCACAGATTTTAACGAAACTTGGCATGTTGATTTGGGCACGAGTAACTCATGAAATTGAAATTGGTCATGTCTGGGATCAATATTGAGGGAGATTTAAGTGAAAAGTTAAAAATGTAACTTTTTTTTTGGGGGGGGGGGTGCTATGCGTTTGACTAGTTATATTTACCTGTAAATGTAAGCTGCACAGAAGTGGTTCTTATATTGTTTTAAAGTTATTGTCCAGCTGTATAGATCGAACAAATAATATGCCATCCCCATATGAATAATTACTATGTAATAACCGATTAAAATATTAAAAATTCAATTTAAAAAAAATCTCTCAAAATTGATCAATTTGCTAAATCTAGATCATAATGTCATGAACATCTCCAGACAATTTGGTCTTCGGTTTTTGAATAGTTGCTCAGATATCTTGCCGGAAAAGCAGCGTCACATGGTTTCATATCACTAATGGGCCTTTTTAATGGCAGCCAAACTGACATGAAGTAGTATAAGAAGCACAGGTGTAAGTAACATTAAGGTTACAAATTTGCTACACTTAAACATTTAAACACTAGACAATCAAGCACAAATGAACGCTAAAAATTACCTTTTTCATACTGACAAATTGCCCCTTTTTGCTTCTCACAGTGATCACTGCTCAGGGTCCCAGTTAAAGGGTTAAAGGTCATGCATTCCCTGCGGTTTGTCACATTAATAAGCCCAGGCATGGCATTTCTGTTACCTGGAATTAAAAAAAAAAAAAAAAAAAAAAAGATGCAGGGTTGGGGCAACATGGTGGAGCAGCGGTTAACACTATTGCCTTACACCTCTAGGACAAAGGTGCGAGTCTCCGGCATGGCTCCCTGTGTGGAGTTTGCATGTTCTCCCCATGTCGTCGTGGGGTTTCCTAATGGCCCGTAGGTGTGCATGTGCCCTGTGACGGGTCGGTACCCCATCCTGGGTTGTGCTCAAGGGAGCTTCCAGGATAGGTGCCAGACCCCCCACGACCCTGAATAGGACAAGTGGTTTCAGAAAATGAAGGGATGGATGGATGGATTCAGAGGAGTGAGAGATGCTGATTGTGATTCACGTAATCTAACAAGTAGATTTAGATTCCCATACCGAAGTGATGAAAGTACCCTTAGGTGCAAAGTTTCAGCAAGCAAATAAATACAATATATTGGTTTTAATAGAGCCTTTGCTAAATGCAGACTTTAGTCATAATTCAACTGGAGAAAGAAGGTAGGTATGTGTCCAGTTCCGGAACATTTTGGTTTGATAAACAAGTAGCTTAGTTGGCAAGAAATCTTGCACAAGAAGCCAACTGATAAATGGGTGGCATGATTTAAGCCCCCACTAAGGAAAAGTAGATCATCTGTATATCCTAATAAAACTTTGCTGGCCTGGAGCCAAGCAACCGTGACATCATTAAAGGTGGGCAGAGTAACCAAGGCAACTTTAAATAAATAAAACGGCAGAAAGCAAATCTGGAGTTGTGTGGGCTGCTGAAGAAATTACAGCTCTTTTGGCATTCTGGACTTCGCAAGGCAGAAAAAAAGAAAAAATGTATGAAGATATAATGGAAGAACTGTGAGTTGCTGGATTTCAACAATTAACAGAGCAAATAGTCAACAAGCTTAAAAAAAACTGAAAAAGGACTACAGGGACAAAAAGCAGGATCTTTCAGCATCTGAAAACACAAGATGTGTTCTGCCATTGTTGCTTTATGTAGTAGGCGTGGTTTGTGACAGTGTTGTCACCCAACTCCCACTGGGCTCTCAAATCAATGGAAATGCCATTCACTTCAGCACTGTCCAGTGCAGTGCAGTGGAAAAGGGGTAACCCATAGAAAGTACCAGCGTCTCTGTTTTTCTCTCCGGAACACCTGTGCTCCTCAATATCTGCTGGTACTGAACAACAAGGGGAGTACCGGCACCTGGTACTGAACAACAAGGGGAGTACCGGNTGGTACTGAACAACAAGGGGAGTACCGGCACCTGGTACTGAACAACAAGGGGAGTACCGGCACCTGGTACTGAACAACAAGGGGAGTACCGGCACTGGTTTTTCCCCACTTAAAGCACTGCAAGAATCACTCTGCCCATATAATGAATTAGTTACATGGAAGATGTCTGAAGATTAAATAATATTTTGGAAATATTTCCGTACATTTTAGAAAAGCACACAGCAGCACAGACGACCTAATAAGCCTGCAGAATTGGGCCAATGTGCAACCTTTCCAATGACTGGATCAACCTGAACTGGGATCCAATATGTCCGGCGTTATCTATATATGTACATTTGCCTTAAGCCAAAAACAACTGAGAAGCCAGCACTATATTATTTCTGACTTTTGCTTTAAACGTTTTGCCATAAACTGGCGTTACTTAATATCACACTGTTTACGAGACAAAGAAATGCAATAAAAACATATTACACACACACTGAAAATGGAATAGCAGCGTCTGATCTGTGTCTCATCACAAAGGGCGGATTTTAAAATTACAGCACAGATAAAAAATCTGCTGCTATCAGTTCCAGCTTCTCTAATTAGGTCTGCGTGGAGACACACCCAGGGCCCGCTGGCTGAAAGCTGGAGTTACGAATCCCAGTAGATGTAAGCTAGTGATCTCACCCGGACATGTGCAGCCAGATGGAAAGTGGCCAAAACTTTACCTTCACATGAGTCTCCCCAGTGCGTCTTCAGGGACCCATCCGTCTCAAGGGCGGAGAAGTTCCACTTATAAACCAGTCCAGAGGAAATGGTTGAACAGCCTTTTTCCAAGGAGTGGATCTCACTGATGTTTAACTCCCTCTCCCAAATGTTAAGCTGTGTAATGTTCCAAGAAAAGCCCTCCTTCGATAAGTTGTTAAGGGCGCCATGGGGCTGACCGATAAGGAACAGGCCACCGCCATCGATGCTGCTGCCGTTAGAGCGGTCGCCGCCCTCCCCCTTAACGTTGCCATCGGCAGTGATGGACCATTCGCTTCCATTCCGCCTCCACCTCACGCATACCGTGTGCCAGCGACCATCGTTCTCAAAAGCCGGTGAATAGGATTTGGGTCTTCCGTGCACTATCACCACCAGACTGATAAGGTCCCCGGGGGTCACAGAAGCCTCAACCCGAAACCCGTCAGAGGATGATGGTATGGAGTAGGAGAACAGGCTGAAGTTCCTGTAAAAGCTTCGATCGAGCTGCAGTCGCGCGCACAGCGTCATGATGCCCAGGGGTGGGAAGGGGTGACGGATGCTGGCATGTGTGTGATTACTACTGGCTGAGAACTCCAAAATTAAGGACTCAAAGTCACCTTAAATCAATAAAAAACATTAATATTAGCCTACAAAAATACACGCTCTTTTATACATACAGATGTCGCTAAATGTAAACGGAATACAAATAGATTTTAAAAAGGAAAAAAAAATGAAATGCAAAAAAGTTTATATAAACACTACATAACTCACCTTGAGAAAGTTTATTTTCAATCCAGACTGGCTGCGTTACATTCAATAACTGCCATAAAATATCAATGTCTTTCCCAAACGCCTGGATTATGACTGCCAGGGATCCGGATCTGTTCTGACACGCAAGGCGGGAGTCATGCCAGGGAAGCTGGTCCCGCACGTACTCATAATAAAATTCTCCCAGTTTGAGCACAAACCTGGTCTGTAGCGTCAGCCCAGATTCTAATCAAGCGATAAAAAAACAACAGGTGGGACGTTTATAAATTAAAACATCCTCAATATCATTTGACGATGTCGTTAGTTTTTATTACGTCATCACCAGTCTATCGTGGGGGACATTACTGAATCACATTCTGAAACACTTTTAATGACTTTACATTTACATATAAGGATATTGCGGGGGCTTCGTCTGACTTAGAAATTGTTTGGAGACAGATTAACTCATTTATTGGTTTGGGGAAAACACGAAATAAACGCATAAATATATAAAATGCAAACCCGCACTGACAACTTGTTTTGAAAAATGATATACTGGGGAAAACAGGAGAAATCACTCGTACTAATTAACTCAGTCATGTTCTGCTTCATTTCTGCCATGCGTCTATTTCTGTGCAATATATTTGAGTCTTACCTCTAACGGTACAGTGCAGAAACCATATCTGTAAAAAAAAAAGGGGGGGAAAAAAAAAAAAAAAAAAAACACGAATGAAGCGCACAGTTCCATCAACTCCCAAAAGTTAATAAAAGTTTCAGGTCGACGAAGCTACTTACGGTAAAACCAAAACAGATGCCGGACCCCCGCATCTTTCAGCCTGAAACAAAACTCCAGTTTGCAGGGGTACCGTTTTATTGGCGTAAGCAGATCTCACAAAACACCCCCTACACATATATCCAGAAAAGAGAGCAGTCGGAAAATGTAAATTTTAAGCGACTTGTTGAAAAGCATATCCGACTCCCGGAGTCTCTCCGCCGGGCAGCATCGGCAAACGGCGGGCGGCTCTCGCAATAAACTGGATCCCATACGGCTTCTAGTCAGGAGGGGAAACCCAGATTTCAGCGCAGTGATCCTGTCCCAAACCCCGAGGAACCTCCTAGTTGACATCAACATGTGAGAATTCATTGACCGATACTGGGAGGGGTGTAATGGGGAAATGTAATGAAGTAGAGGCACAGCTGGCGATAGTTTTCACGGTATAAACTTCTATTTTTTCGGGTTAGAGCAAAGGTTAGAGACAGTCGGCCTGCTGGCGGTTTCTCTCCAGTCGCTGGGATATTGCCAGTATGAGAACTGAGAGGAATTAACCGCTAATTTAAAGCAACGAGAAAATGCTTTTCTGTATCGGAAGAAACGCAAACACTCAAGGATCACACTTGTGAAATATGTGCATTTATTTTTGTGTTGTCATCCCAAGCTGTTAAATGAAACATGATTCCTAATAATCTCTCATTTAACGCAAATGATCCAATTTTCTCGCACACCAATCAGAAAAGACATTTATAAGCTCTGGCAGTACAGGTGCATAAACAGACTTAATGCCACAAGACCAACATAAACACCGAGGACAAACAGCCAAGTATAATGAACCAAAATCATTACTGAGCCCTGGAACCCATCCGTATATCTATAGCATCTAAAAACATTCGTCTTCAGTACTGTGGAAAAATCATTTGACTTAAGCGAGTGGGGATTACAGCATTTTTCTGAATACCTGAGGCAGCTGCATTTATAAGACACATATAGAAAAACCGGTAATATATTGGGTCTTAGAAAATTAAATAACATGCTCCTGTTTTACTCTTGCTTGCCTTGCGGCCCATTGCTACAGCTATGTAATAGTGTAAAATGAATACAGCCTACTTTCACACAATGACAAAAACAGCTACCGTGAAACTGGAAAGTACAGTTGATTTTAAAATGTGCTTTTTATTAAAGCTATTATATTATCGATCTCAGAAAGCATAAATGATGACAGCCATGATCAACGTGCCCAGTGCATTGAGGGAAAATAGACGTTAAAGGGATTTGGTGAGGGGGGGGGGGTGATTACACCCACCGGATATCACCAGTAGACAACGGCGCCTCTGACGACAGGGTGTACACTATTTTGCGGACAGTTCGGTTCTTCCTGGTGCCGCCCGGCGCGGAGTCACCCTCGTTCCGATCCACCGCTCTGCCAGCCGTCTCCAAGGCGCCGGTCTCGCGGGCCAATGGCACGCTCTTATCGCACGTGGGTTCGAACGCGGCCAACAGAGACCGCATGGCGGCATGCACAGCGTCCCCGGCCTCCGCCACGTCTCCTGCAGAGCGCTGCGTGCTTCCAGTCGCAGACACAGGTCCCTGGTCCTTGTGGAGGCCATTTATAGCGTCAGCGATCGTTCTCGAAGATGAGCAGATTACTTCCCTCCAACTGATAATACTGCCATTTTCTTTTACTGCAAGTCAAAAAGGTATTTCAGTTAATGCTTTAGATGCCATATGATGGCAGAGAGACTCTGGGCAGCACTGTAGCACAGCACCTGTAGGGTTTTACATTTTCCCTGGTTTCCATGTGGTTTAATGAAGGGACATTTCTAAATTTCCCATAGCATGACTATGTGATGTGTGCCCTGTGACAGGGTGGCCTGTTATCTAGGGTGGTGCCGCACCCCCCCTCCCTTCGGGCTATAACCGAATAAGCCACAGGGGTCCCTTGATCTTGTACTGGTTGACTGGTTATAGAAAATGGATTTCACAAATATTAACATTGTATAAATTAACATTCTTAATCAAGGAAGTGAAGTGACAGTCTGCAGTGCTTAATTAAATTGCTTTAGTAAAAAGAGGCACTTAAAAAGAAAAGGAGGAATTTAAATATCAGGTAAATTCATTACATCCTGGTTGGACAGGACGCCGTTACCTCTCAGGATCTGTGCAAGACTCGGGCAGATTTGCTTGACTGCCAGGTTCAGATGAAACAGATTAACTGCTTTATTTCTGGCCCAAAGAAGATCTGGTTGTTCAAGAGGTCTGTCCACATCTATATCTGTATTTTGCTGGCACAAGAAAAGTTAAAATTATAATGTTTTGGGGTTGCATTTAAAATTTGATTTAAAATCCACCTCAATAAAATAGATATATATAAATATTACATTTAGAAAAATCTGCCATTAAAAAAGGTTTCCTATTAGGAAATCATGAAAACCATTCTTCAAGAACCACCATGTTCAGTTTGTCATGCTTTGTGGTGCTGGACCAAGATGATGGCCAAAGAGAGACCAGGATTGGTACCAAAGATAATACCAGGAACCTTTGGCTCCAGCAGAGAACCCAGTAGTCTCACAGAGTCCCATACTTACTGTTGCACTAAAAGCGAAGTACCGCTGAAGGGAAGAACCAACTTCTAATATCCCTGACTTTACATTCTGCAAAACCTGAAACAACAAAATTTAGGTTAAAAATGACCTCCCCAGGTTCCACAGAGAATGTTTAGTTCCCTACAGGGTTTCACTAACAGAACCATGCATGGCAGACGGATAGTTGATACCTTTGGAAATTTTCCTTCAAATGGGATACAGCTACTTTTACATTTAATGTAACACCTTGCTTCTACATGTTCAACTTTTAAACCCCGTTCCTTTGTCACAGAGCTGCCTTTAAATGCTTTGGGTCAGTTGCTGTCGCAGCGAACCCACTTGGAGCTCGAAGGCCATGTTTTATCAGAGGAGCAGCACCTGCGTTCTCGGGGTCATCAGCCGAGCTTCACGCTGCATCTCCTTGGCTTGGGTGATGCCGCCCTGCAGGAGGTGATCTATACCGCTGCAGGTTCCCTCATAGACAGGCGTCAGCACAGAGCACTGGAAGAACAAGGGGTCAAGCTTGTGCTGCTGGAAGAGCGTCGGAGGCTGCCAGTAAACAGCTGAAGCCTCATTAACTCGATTTAACTCACTGGTTCCCAAACTATTCCAAACATGTGCAACTACAATCAAAACCAACTAAAGATACTACTTCTGACTGGATCAAGTTAGTCGAATTTTTGTCATAGTTTGCCAATGAAATTAACACTGGTTCAACCGTTTGGATGCCTCCCCTATGTCGCAAATTTACCCCCCTCCCCCCCCCTGGTTTGGGTTAACTACAGTATGAGGAGTCATAATGCTTAGTGTTACTGAAAAGTGAGAGGCAGATGTGATGATGTGTGACAAGCACCTTATCAGAGGTCTCAGAGCTCGCTTCTGCGGTGCGGAATTCCATTCCCGTTACGGCTGAAAGGTGACCGATGACCCTCAAGGCCGCGTTGAGGCACCGGCCAGTTTTACTGCGAGCCTCCGTCACCATCGATGAAATTTCAGAATCGCAACCCTGGGAGAACAAATTGTAAAATTTAAGTATAATAAATAATCTTAACGACAAACACATCCTTCCTTGGAGGATAACATACAATATAGACATGCTATATGTTAGAGTTCATGAGAGACATTTCCCTACCGACTGCCAATACTGCAGCTGTTCAATGCCAGAGAATTTTTGCATCATCTACAACTTGTTCCCCAAAGAATGTTACTAAAAATGTGGGGTTTTTTTGTTTTGGTTTTTTTTGTTTTTTTATGTACAACAGCTGAATACTGTATTTTCAGGCGTTGCCATAATCACGAATCCCACCCACCTGGATCAGGAGCTGGAAGTAGCCACCCATCTTCTTGACCTCTGCCTTGAGTTGGTCTGCAGTCTGCAGGACGGAGCTGGAGTTCAGCTTGACGCTGGACACCCAGAGCAGCGTGACGGACGCTGCTCTCTCCATAGCCGACGTGGCCCTCACCAGATGGGCCTGAGCCTCCCTGCTGCTGGCCAACACTAGAGATGACATCAGGTTCAGTATTTTTAGTAAGACACAGGTTGGGGAAGGGATACCATTCTATAAACCCTTAGATATCACAGTCAATGCAAGAGCCAATACTTCAAATCACATTTATTTATTTAGCAAAAGTTTTCATCTAAAGCAACACAGGACCCAGAAGCAGAATAAGCTCAGAATAGCCCTGATTCATTAGGGGTTATGGGCCTTTTGCTCAAGGGCCCAACAGAGAAGTTGTGCTGACTAGAGGATTCGAACCGGCGACCTTCCAATCACAGGCAGAGTGTCCTAACCAGCTGAATCACAAACCATCCCCATAATGAAAGCTTCACCCAAACCATCCTTAACGCTTCTGAAAATATGAGGGGCTTTTATAATAATAAAGAAACTGGACTGCAGTGATGTCCTGCTCACAGTTTTCATGGCTGTCCTCTCCCAGGCCTTCATACAAGTCGCTTATGGACTCCAGCGCCGCATGGACGGCCAGGAGGTCAGAGGCCAGCCTGTCAGCCATGGTCTTCTCAGCACCATGGCATTCAAGCAGCTGTGCTACTGAAGAGCCAATCAGATCCTTACAGATCCCAGCCAGGGCAGAAGTGGGTGCACTGTGATGTAGCGATGAGGGCCTGTTCACCCCCATCAGACCTGGAGAGAGACAGGCGGTCAACTGAACTCATCACCTAAACATCCATTACAGTTACAGGTCGGGCGTTCTTTAATCTAATACAAGTGTATAAATATTAGGGCCCAAAAAAACAGACTTGAAATATCTCATCATAGCTGAAACAGTGTTTTGCGATATTAGGAGATGTAAACTTGGAGTTAATGCTAAAAACATGCAGATTTTAAATATTTGTCCTCTGAGAAGTAGAGGGCGAGTTGATGAATGTTTTTTACAGCTTCTGATATCAAACAAACACGGCCCTAGCAACTGGGAGAAAGGGAGGAGACCACCACATGAGCGTTTGTCTAATGCTCAGCAGTGATTTGGAAAGTTACCAGCTTGAGGAGAGGAGTTGAGGGCCTGAATAGGATGCACTCTGATCTCATAGAGACGTCCAGAAATCCTCCTGCTCTTCAGAAGACTTCTACTCCTGGAGGGGGGGGAAAAAAAATCCAAAACAGGTCTTATGTTAGCATCTGCTATACAAGCTCCAAGCATATCTGAAGTTAACAAGTCCTACTTTAATTTGAGAGATGCGGCCTCAGAGCACATAGCCTTCATAGCAGGCACTAAGGCGGAGCTGTCCTCCGCCAGATATAGCTGCTGCAGCTTGGAACGCCCGCAATTCATGCCGCCCACGAGGATGCTGAACACACTGGAAGGGGAGGGTTAGGGAGACACCAGGCACAAAGCGAAGAACACAGGAAGCACGAGGAAGCGGAACCGCAGGCGAGAAAGAACCACGACGCTCGACAGAGACGATTTCAAGCACTGCACTCAGAAGAAACAGAAAATCAGGCCGTTTGATCTGACACTGAAGGCAGCAGCGGGGGCAGGAGGGAGTTCAAGTATCAGGCAAAAGGGGCTGATTTACCTTCGGCGTGAAAACATGGAAGAGGATGAAGTCGTCGAAAGATCTTGTTCCCACGTGTCATTGGGGTCATAAAAGACATCATCATCTTTAGCTCCATATCCCTGAAAGCAAACAGATTTACTTTATTCCTTCTTAGCCATAGAGAAGATTTCCACAATGACAAACGTCTCATTCCAACTTGCCTGGACAACCTAAGACCCTCAAGAATAAATAAGTAGCATTACTGAGATTATCACTATTCATATATAATGGAACCTTTACGGTTAATATGAAAGAGGCTTGGATGCTGACATTTCCCAAGATGCACTGCAGACAAATCCCACCTGCTCTAATTCCCTCATGGCCGGCAGTTTGCTCTGGAACTTCTCCAGACTCCAGAAGGTGGAGATGCCCAGCTTAGCATTCTGCACCTGAATCTGCGGGTCCGTCTCACCGTCTTTCTCAGGAGGCTCATGCCTGACAGAAAGGGCCACAGGTTACGCTAAGCAGCACCACACAAAGGCCAATAGCATGTATTCATCTGAGCTCAAACATGCATTAAAGCGTAAAAGTGAAATATACTCTGGAGCTCTGAGGAATGCCGAAACACGGCAAAAGCAGTCAAACCTGCTAAACACTGTCTTTTTCCTGAGGTTCCTGCTGATTGTGTTCGCTTCCTCAATCATTACAGACAACTTCATGGTATCCCATTGAGGCTGACCTAAACAAATGTGAAAGTAATCATATCAGACATTGGGCATTTACTTCCTAAAAAGCAGGCCCACACTACTGAAAATGCATAATATATTACAGTCAATAAGAAACTAGGTCACCCATTGCCTTCAGAACATCTCCAGTCCTTCATAGATTGCAGTCATTCTAGTCCTGAACTTTGTCTAGTGGGATACTGGACCACTGTTCAAGAAATGACGCACCCATTTCTTTGAGGGATGAAGGAATCAGAATTGTATGTCACTATCTGAGCTCCAGAAACAATGATGTTTAGATCAGGTGAATGGAGGGGGCACGGAAGGCGTTTGAATTCATCCCAGCGCTCAAGATGTGTTTAATATTGCGAGGACATAATCATCCTTGAATACAGGAACATCATGAGGAAACAAGTGTTTGTGCCATGAAGTTCACTGGGTCTTGGAAAAAAGCCTAATATTACTTAGTTCTGTGTTTCTCAAATCAGTCCTCAGGAACCTCCAGAGAGTCCCTGGAGGGAGCAAAAATGTGGATTGTCTGTCTGGAAGCTAGGAGGAAGGAAAAATGTTAACTGTCTGGGTGTCCATGACAACAAGGTTTGGAAACTGCCTCAGCTAATGTATGAACATGCAGAGCAATCACTAGACTTAACGCCCACAGATTCCCAACCAAGCCGTCCATCATCAGCACTTCCAAATCTTACCAACACATTCTGTCACTTCCTTTGACGTCAGTGCTGGAGAACAGTTTTTGGGGGCATGGTGTTCCTTTAGCTGCCGCTTCTTCTGAAGCCTTTCAAGATCCACTGCAATCTTCCTCTTCTCTGCTTCCAACGCCGCGATGATTTTAGCGTGGCGCACATCGTGGTCGGCCATTGCCTGTGAGCCACAAAGATGATTTCACATTGAATAATCCGAGTACTGGAGAGGCAAACAGTCGAACCCTAAGAGAAGAGACTCCATAACTGTGCTATCTCTAGCAGGTCTACGATCTGGTACACGATCTGGTACCTGCCGTGTGGCCTGAGCCTCCAAATGAATTCGTGTCCTGTTCACGTGCAGCTCCTGCTCCAGCAAGACTTTGGCGTTCTGGAGTTCCTCCATTTTGCTGACCACCCGCCTATTGTCAAGTTCCTGGCATTTCTTCCTTTGGTTCTCCTCTTCCTGTAGACAGGCAGGAGAGAAGGGGGGTGGGGGTCAACCTGAGCAGGGCTGACACTCCACCACCATGGCACCAGACATGTGCCAGGCCCCATACCAGCTCACGCTCCAGTGCACTGATCTTGCTCTCATACAGCATCTTCTGATCAGAGAGCTCCTTCTGGGCCACATCTTTAGCAGCCTGTATTCCATGCATCATCTCCTCTTGGGCTTTCAGACGGGCTTCCTCGATCTCTGCTTCCAGCCTGAACACAACACGTGGACCTTTATGGAATTTTACTGGAGAAATCTTCACTAAACATTATAAAAACCAAACCCTTCTGAAACTGGAACACAACTCACAACCCTAAGAACATGAATAGTCACTTCAAATTATGGACTAGTTACACATCAGCAACACTTCACAGAACTAAAACACTGATGGATACCCTACTGAACATAGCAAAATAATGCATCAAAATAAAAATAAGTGCATTTGCAAGTGTATTTTAAACAGAATGTCAAGACCTTACCAAGACACCAAAAAACTGACTTATTAAAGACTTACTGTGCCCTTTGTGAAGCGAGCAGCTCATTTTTGGCAAACTCAAAGTCTTTGTGTCCATCACCTGCCTCTGTCCAGCAGGACACTCGTTTACCGCTGTGCACCTCCACCGGATGGTTGAACCTGAAGTAGTGGTCACCACCAAGGATCACGCGGTCACCCTGGCAGGAGGGGAGACACCAGATACCCAATATCCATCACCCATTCAGAGGTCTCTCTCGGGGACCACAGAATTCTCATGTTACCGTGCAGCACTTACATGGTGCAGGATGGTAGTCTGGGAGATAAGGTCTCCATTCACAAAGGTCTTCGCGTCCTTGATTGGCATGATGCTAACTGTCCCACTTACACTGGATATAACGCTGAGGAAAACAAAACAATACTCTCAGGAGACACAAGAATAGAATGTTCTATAAATAGTCACCATTGTTAATCTGCAATATTCACATGAGGATGATTCAGAAGCAGATATTTTAGGAGAACATGCTCTAACAACTTCCCAATGTTACAGGACAGTGTTATAGGCGAGAGCCTGGGGCTTAATCCAGGCAGCACAGGGCACAAGGAAGGGGTACACCCTAAATGGGATGCCAGTCCATTCCAAGGTACACACCAGCAAACACCACAGACAACTTAGAAACACCAATTCACCCAACTGCATGAGTTAGGATGAAACAAGAGAGCCATGGAAACCCATTCAACATGGGAAGAACATGCAAATTCCACACACACAGCACTGAGGATGAGATTCGAACCTCCAACTCTAGAGGTGTAAGGCAACAGTTCTACCCATTGAGATTTCATTCCACTCTCGAATCAAAGCCATTAAACCAAAGATACTGTATTTTCTGTAGGTATAGTGACTAACAGAAAAGTTAGTACAAAAATGTTATTTGACAGTAACAGGTGTTAAATTTTAGTACGGCATCAAGTAGAGGAAGCATCAGCTGACCAGTGTTGATCAGCGATGAGGGCCCCCGTCAGCTGAATGTCATGGGCAGACTCAGCTTTGCGCTTCCCAACTTTCGTCTGTCCCTCCTTTATCATGTACAGCAGCATCTCAGACAGCTGAGGATCCTCGTTGAGGTTGACAAGGTTTGGAAGCTGGTTATCCACCTTGAAGGTGATACCTGCTTTCTATTTGGAAGGCAGGAGAATCAACCTCAGGAACTAAAACCAAAGATTATAGCTCAACAAGATTCAAGAATCAAACATGAAATTAATCCAGTTACCTGTAATTCTTTCGTTTCTTCTCTTTTTCGTTTCTCAGCCTGCTCCAGCTTCTCATTCCATGTCCTGGAACAAGACAGCCGTACCCAGACTCAGAAAGCGGTCCGTGTGTCCACGCTTCCCTGGTAACCCAGGTTTATTCAATCTAAAACTCGGCACAAAGTTGGCACAATGAGCAGTAGCTACCTATGAGCCTCAACCATGTCCTTCTCCTGCTGCATCAGCTGCATCTTCAGAGCAGCAATTTCCTGCTGAAACAGCCTCATCCTCTCCGGCCCGACGCCTTGGGAGCTCATCTGTGCGGCCCTCAGTTTCTCTACCTCCGCTTTAAGCTCTGCAAGTGCATTCACATAAAATATGGGTCCCAGAACCCAAACAGTAATTATACTCACACGTTAGTTCAGTGGCTACGATTGACGATTACTTGTATGACAACATATTCCACAGAAACACATTATATTACATTCATACTACAGAGCGACCGCTACGAAGTGAATGGAGGACATACTGACCCCTGATCAGCTTGGCGCTGTTGTCCTCGTTGACCTTCGCCACATTGATGATCATGCGGGCCTGTTTAGCGTAACGCAGCGTGCTCAGGCTCTCCTCCACGCTGCTGCCAGCGGGGCTGACAGTTGCAATCATTGCAGTCTTGGAGTTTCCACCCAGACTCTCTTTAAGAAGCCTAGACACAGACCAGAAGAACTTCACCAATCCACACCCCAATAAAAAACAACTAAATAGGTTACATTTAAAGAAGGATTTTGGCAGAAAAGTCACTGGTAACGTCACCCTTGAGGCTCCCGAGATCCCTGAGAGAATATTTTGTATTTCAGATTTCCACATACCACGTCAGCACAGATTCTCTGTATGGGATGAAGACTCTCTTCCTGGTCTGAAACTGCTCAGACAGAGCTGATATGACCTTCCCCAGTGTTAGCAAGGACTTGTTAATGCTTGCACCTTCCTATGGGAGGACAGGGTGAGAAGAAAAGAACAACAAAGCATGTAAATTCAATGCATTCTTATCTGCACATTAGCATAACGATTAGAGGACCATTTCGGTGTGGCTCGGTACCCGGAGTCGGTCACCCCAGGTCTGGGCAGAGGAGCAGCGCTCACTGCCTGCGAGGTCCACCAGGTTGATCTTGCTGGTGATACGATGGTCGTGCTCCTCTTCCTCCACAAACTCCCTCTGTACGAACAGGGAACCCGTCAGCAAGTTGCAACCACACAGCTATGCCTGGCTTTTCAAGGCGAATGCATACTTGCGTGCCAGTTACATCAATCAACAATTATTAGGTTCTTGCTTTGTTGGAAATTGTTGCGTAGCTCTTGTTCCGATGTCACTTACACCTGTAACTGGGCATTCATTGGAAGCTCAACCTAGCTGTTCTTGTGCGTTACAAGTTGACTTGCGTTTGTAATATGCTATTTACGTCACTTTTACATTGCTTAGGACAGAAGTGGCTGCTAAACAAATACAAATGTTGATGTCAATTCAAGGCATAAAACTATTCCAACAAGAGACAGGATATTATGCCTGTGCTAACCCCACAACAGTAACAATGGTTTGGTTTTATCTATGGCCATTTATAAAGGATGAGAAGGAAGGGGACCGAAGACGCGATATGAAGTTTTGAGCGAAATGAGAAGGAGAAGAATAAGATCGATCACCTTGGTCTGAGTCATGACGAGGGTGAAGACCGAGTGAGACCTGGAGCTCTTGTCGTTCATGCCCGTCGCTGCTGTGGCCCGTTGCTTATTGCCGAGCTCAAGCCAGCCCTGGAACAGCAGCAGGGTACATCATTTACACTCAGACAATGACCACCGTACCCCAAAGTTACACAAGGTAGGTATAAAGGTATACGAGGAGCAAGAGGGGCAACCAACCAGAGCCAGAACAGGAGCACTCACCTGGATGTCGGTATAGGAGCTCACTACATTCCTGCAGGAGAGCACAGCACATTTCAATGGGTTTACAGATAGTTATCAAGCTAGAAGATGCATAAACACTGAGCAACATGTTAAAAAAAAATCTGCACGCAAAAGCACATACTTACGCAGAAAGATCGGCAACATATGGCCCATAGACTGGATGTTCCCTGACCCTTAGCTTAGTAGAAAAGAGCAGGGAATTAACAGGAGAAAACATTTATACATTTTAAAGTAGAACGTCACAATAAAAAAAATATATACTGATACTTCATAAACTTTGTCAAATATGTTATCTGACAGGCTGAGGGGGCTTAAATGTTTATCAGGAATCATATTACATCAAGAAACAACTAAGCTACAGTACCACAAAATACTGATTAAAGGACACTACTATCACTAAGTCTGTTTTATGTATTTAAAAAAAAAAAGACATCAAGAAACTCACCGGAAGTTTTTTACCATTTTGCTCATCTTTCACGACAAGCAGATCATGAATTCTCTCATTGTAGACTTCAAAGTAGCTCATTTCGAGGTGGCATGTTACCTGTAACGGACACAATTCAAACAGCCTGATGATATAAGGTGATAGAAATATAACCATAAGTACATGCATCTTGGAGAGTTACTGAGAATTAAGGTCATATGAAAAAGTGTTTAAATAAATTCACCTGTTTATTCTCAGAGTTTGCGATTCTAGAAAATACTTCTTCACAGAATCTGGGTATCACACCAGGCTCTTCATCAAAACCCATCATTCTATAAGGGAGGACACACATAGGTCAGTGTAGAAATGGAAATATGCAAGGGACATTTGACAATCATGTCAAAGACTGCATAATAGTAAAATGACCTCCCATTAATGAGATAACAAATGTGAACTCAATAACATGATCAATCTTTGGAATCAAACTTACGTGTATGATTTTCCAGACCCAGTCTGTCCATACGCAAAGAGACAGGTGTTGTATCCTTCAAAAGCTCTCTCAAGAAGAGGTCTTGCTAGCTTCTCATAAATGGTCTGCTGGCTCGAAAAGTCCGGTTTGCACTTATCAACTGAGCAGAAGGAGAAGTCGAAGGTGAAGGAGTAGCACTGCCTAGAATCTGGGTGCTGGACGACCGTTTCCTGGTCCTTCATGAAGACCACCTGTTGGACTTTTTCATTCTTCTCTCTGGATACACAGAAGCAGATGATGTTCAACTTACACCAAGTAAGTTTAGATTTGATTTACAATGACCAAGTTCAAACTATGGAAGGAAAACCATGCAAACCATGGAGTGAACTCCACCTCCACGAGAGGTCTCCAGCTCCAGTCCTGGAGAGCTACTGTCCAGGAAGTTTTCTATCCCACCTGACATCTGATGAGCCACATAAATACCAGGAACTGGTGTGGCTCATCAGAAGCCAGGTAGGATAGATAACCTATTTGACAATTCTCTCCAGGACTGGAGTTGGAGACCCCTGACGTACACAGATCCAGGTTGGGATGTAAAAATGCAGCCCACTGAGCCACTGATGAAACAAGCGCAGACAGAACAGGAACACGAGGCAGCGGATGCTTGTGAAAAGACACCATGTCAGACAGACTTACCGGCTGCTGAAAGGCCTAAGTCGCACCGCTACAGTGACGGCGCTGTTCTCCAGTTTACTGGGCTCCTGTTTCGGTAACGCATCCGCGCCGGTGCTCCCTCCCGAAACACGGGCCCCTCCAGCAGCTACACAGCGGGTCGGACCTTCATCCTTACTCCGCCCCGATGCCGCGGGAGTTGCTCCCCTTTTCACCTGAGCAGGCTGTACGCTGGATTTCAGGTTTCCGAACCGGCTATCAGCCCCAGTGTTGCCGGACTGGGCCGAACTTTGCGCCGCCGTCTTAACGCAGCGCCCAGGGTTCTTCTGCCCCTCAGGTTTCACGGACACCACGACGGGGACGTCTCTCCCAGCCAGCCTCTCAAAAAGATCCATTTTTAAACTCACTTTCTCGAACTGTGTCTTTCTATTTGGGGTTGAAAATACTTGACTCTGACCACTTGTTTTCGTGGCACCGGCTGCGTCCCCAGGGGCCTGAGTGACAGCTCTCTGCTGCAGGCGACCCGAAGTCCCATCAGGGCCTTTTCCTGGGGGTTTTTCAGCATTGATCCCATCTCTTCCCTTGCTTTTAAAGCCTGGATCTTTCAGACTAACCGAGCGCAGGATGCCTGTCCCTCGGGGAGTCCTACAGTTCGGTTCGGACAGGACCTTGGAATGAGCCGCACTGGCTCCGCGGGACGACGGCTTCTCTGCGCCCTTGCCGGCGTTCGGGGCCTTTCTGTCCCCCGGGGCGGCCCGGGTTCTGCGCTGTAAACTCAGCCTTTTCACCGCCGCCTCACAGTCGTTCTCGGAGTTTTCCTGAGCCGCCTTCGCACTTTCTTGGGCCCCTTTGGCCTCGGTTTTCCTCCTTTGGAGAGTAAGTCTTTCCCGGCTCCCCGGGGCGCCTTTCTGTGTCCCACACCTCGTCACTGTGGATATTATATACGTTTTGTTGATTTCCCTGGTCCGGCCGGCACACAACGGTTCCTCGTCTTGTTGCACCTCCATGGTTCCAGGATCACCCTCGTTTCCGTCGACAGTTTTAATAAATTATTCCTCGTAAGAGAACAACAGCTGTGTACTTTTATATCTTAATACTTATTTTCAATAAGTTACTTGTAGCATAAAAAAATAAAATATCTAAACGCAGTTGTTTTCAGAAGTCTAGCAATTACATACATTAAATTCCAGCCAAAACGCTTCGTTAGGAAACAAACTCCCTGCAAGTTACGGGTGACAGCGAAATCGAGGGAATACTAACAACTGAACCACCACTAAAACACAACCCGTCTTTTACGTAAACTCTCAGGACTTTTTAAATAAGTGCAAAGAGTGGCAGAAAATCATTAAAACACAGTTCTGCATCCGTAGGCGCAGGCAGGCGGCTTGTAAGCGGACAGTCTCGGATCTGTTTTGGTTTGCGTGGTTTGGTAACTGTGTTCATCTGTCGTATCAACACAAAACACTACAAAAGGCCTCTCGACTACCAAACCACACGCTACCGTTATCCGATAAATGCGATCTAAGCACACGGAAGCATCGGTAAAACACGTTATGTCGTATGACTGTTAGCTTTTTTTTAATTGAAACTGCATAATACGCTAAAAGGCCAGTTAGCCAGCCAGCCCCATAAACTCTCCTAAGTCACCGCGGCGCTTTCAATTTTCAAAACTCTGGGCTGCTTTTACATTGGTCGCCGGTTACGTCACCGCGAAAACACAGGAACACGCCCATTGGACACGCCCTGAGGTCGAAACAGGCGAGACGGTACGCATATTCCGCCGCTAGATGACAGTGTTGACGCGAAAGAAAGACATCTGTTTTTGTTTTAATAAAGGAGCTAGGCAAGGTTAGAGGTTATCAGCATGTCTATTGAATTTCTGTGGAGAACATAATAAAAAAGATGAACTGGGGGAGGACAACAGCACTCTCAACCTTAGACTCAACACTTATAGGGAAAGTGGTGTACAACTAAATGTAACCATGGGAAAGACCGCTAACTCCACTGTTGACAGTAAAGATAGCTATAGACCATTTTATTTCCTTTGAACAATCAAAAACCACAGCTCCTTCACCACTACCAGCCCTTCTGTATATTCTTCCCCTTTCCCTAAAGACCTCACCACTCTAGAGGTATCTGCCTGCACGTCTCATGTACCACCTTGCGAGTTATACCCAAAAATGTGATCATTAAAATGTTTAATTAAAATAAATAACTGATGATATCTTTTATTATAAACATTTATTGTGGAAATGCATATACACTGCACTGATAGTTTCTGTAACAAAACAGCAGACTTTTACATGTCATTTACTCTTCAGAACCACTTATATAAATATCTGTACAAAAGATGAAGTGGATCACCAGCACGTCAGGAAGCCTATGACTGCTTCCTGGCTATCCTACGGTCATGCTTTCTGATGATGTCGATGATGTTGCTCTCAGTAACCGCCCCGCCTTCCCCTTGTCTGCCCTTCTGCTTGGCTCGCCTCTGCTGCTCGTGGAGGTGCGGCGAGTTGAGCAGCTGCGGGGGCAGCAGGGAACCCGTGGGCTGCACTCGCTTCACCAGCTCTAGGAAGAGGCGCTTGTTGTTGTTGTTCACCAACGTAATGGCGGTCCCCCGGTGACCCAGCCTACCGGCCCTGCCGACCTGGGCGTGGGGATACAGCCTGGTTAAAAACTGACCCCCTCCCACAAACCCGTTAAAGTGTCAGGGAAACGGGGGCTGATGATGGTAATGAGCGGCCCATCTTAATAATGTGAGCCAATAATTAACCTTAAGTCACACTGCAATCTCAATAAAAATGGCTGTTTAAATTCAAATGGTAATGAACAAATGAGGAAGGACTCACACACCTGATGAACATACTCATCCATATTAGCGGGCATGTCGAAGTTCACGACCAGCTTCACGTTGACTAGGTCGAGACCTCTTCCCAGCACCCCAGTACTGACCACCACTTCAAATTCCCCCTCAAGCAAACCCTGCAAACAATAACCTTGTTAGCACAAGCATTTTGCCTTCACAGCTATATCAAGCTTTAACAAAATTAATTAATGTGTTTTGAATGCATAGTGACTGACATAGCCGGTTAAGTCTAACCTTGTATCTAGGGAGAGCCTCAGCACTGTTTTTAATTTAGGAAGGTATTACTCACGTTCCCTGAGGGAGGCTCCTAATAATGCACTACAGGGCAACGCACCTTCAGTATCCTGTTCCTCTCGCACTGCGACTTGTCAGAGTGTATGGCCACCGTGTTGAGGCCCATGACCTTATGCACGGCCTCGCAGAGCAGGTCCGCCCCCAGCCTGCAGTCCACGAACACCAGCACGGGCGGGCAGTACAGCTTGGCGTCCTGCGGGGCAAAGACAGGCCTGCTGTCATGCCTCACGAGGGCAAAAACGAGCCGGTTCTCCTTTTGTTTTCCTGGGGACTGACTGAAAGGCAACCGGGGAGCCGTGTGACTCGTTCTGGTTTTCCAAGCAATAACAGGGAAGCAGGAACTGATATTGTGAAGAGTTAAAGAGCCCCAGTGTCTCTGATTCATGGCACTCATGTCAGTTAGCGTGTGATGTGGCTCTTGTCAAAGGCATTCTTGTCCCCCCCCTTGCCTGTACAGCATGAGCTCCAAAAAAAAATCTAAATCTGCTATAAGTGTCTGTAAGACACTGTGTTCTCTCATATATGCAACATAAAACACAACAACCCACAAGACAGATCACGATGAGGGTGAGAGGGGTAATAATTTACACTTCTCATATATACATATATTTATATAACTCCATGGGAAAATTCTCTTTTCGCCGATGCCATCTTGCTCTCCAGGCTTAGGAGTCGCAGCAGCTCTGGAGCTGGGGGTTAAGGGCCTTGCTCAAGGGCCCACAGACGTGCGACTATTCTGCCGGGGGCTGGGGCCCATACAGGCAACCTTCCAATCAGAGGCGCAGAGGCTCAGCAACTTCAGTGGGGGAAAAACATCTATCCATCACGAGTAGGAGTGGTAGAAAAAAAGTAATCCCATTTAAATAACACCTTCAGGCGACTCTATTGTGAAAGACACTGTGTAAAAATAAGTTGAACTGAACTGAATTGAAATATCTGACTAATTTTACAGACATTGTAAATATCATGACCGTGTAGTGGGTAACGAGTGATGGAAGATCATCGTAGGGATGAAGCTACAATTAAAGGCTAATTCTGAACTACAAAAAAAGAATATATCAGGAAGAAACAACCATCCCTGTAGAAGCACCTAAAAACTCACCACCCCTAAAAATCTGTCACTGGCAGCTAGATATTACCTTTAAATATAAAAGCCAAAAAAGTTATATTTTTCATTTTACATTCTAAATAGGCCACTTGCCATAAGAACCCTTATGTTAAAAATAGTACTAATATAAAAAATGTAAATAGCACATTTTCCTGACGCAGTTCCTTAAATATCAGAGCATGTATCAGAGGTTGAAAAACACCTAATATAAATGACAAGCTGCCTAAAGAATGCAAATATTCTTGTTTTTTCTTATGTTATTGTTCCAGTGTTGTTCAGCATAGCATATAGCTAACAGTATTAGCAAGACAAATATTTACGTTTAAAATTTCAAAAAGCTTCTTTTTCTTTGAGGGTTCCTCCACCCAAAGGACGATCTGGCGCACGTCAGTGCAGGGCTGGTTCCGCTCGCCGACGGTGATTCGCACAGGTTCCTGGGTCAGCCGACCGGCCAGCTGCTCTGTGCCCGGCGGGATGGTGGCGGACACAAAGAGAGTCTGACGCTCCTCTGGAACTCTCTCCAGGACGTCGAGGACTTGCTGCTGGAAGCCCATCTTCAGCATGGTGTCGGCCTGCAGGGAAAAGTGCACCAACGGCAAAGGCATTTGTCCTACATCCTCCTCATGGGGCAGAGAACACGCACAGAACCCGGAAGCAGCTTACCTCGTCTATCACCACCATCCTCACGCCGTCCAGCTGGACAGCCCCCTGTTTCAGGATTTCCAGCAGTCGCCCAGGGGTTGCTATTATCAGCTTGGGTGGAAAGGGGAGGGGGGAAGCTGTGACTACATGCAAGCCTGCTGTTTTACAGTATATTGTCAGTTCTACTGCATGAGTGTCCATTTCGTCTCCAATACTAAGTAAACAGCTTTCATCGTGATCCATAGTAAATCAGTAATAAAATCCTGTTCCTTAATGAGGGACAGGAACCAATCAAATTTACTTTAACACAATTTTTCACAAGCAAGTTTTTCACAAGGCTCTTTTCACTAATCTAAAGTACCTTTCCAGATAGAACCCAAAATAGGAAATCCCCCCAAAACAGCATTACTGGGAAAACTGGAAATACGTCCATTCAAAGACAATCAAGTAGCGTCGACTTGCTATGAAATGTCAGGTAATTGTATTTGTCATGTAATTGTAATTATATGAAAATGTGCTGGCATCCCATCCAAGCCTCGACCCACTTGGGCTCCAAGCTCTGCACATTCAGGGTCCCGCTGCCCCCCGTACCTTAATGTTCTGCTTCAGCCGGTGGAGCTGGGGGGGCAGGGGCATGCCCCCCACCAACAGGGCCGTCCTCATCTGGGGCAGCCCCATTACCAGCTCCTTCGCCTGCCGCTCGATCTGGATCGCCAGCTCTCGGGTTGGAGTCAGAACGAGGCCCATCGGACTATAAGTGGTACCCACTGGGTTCTGTGGGAAAATGCAAGGTAACGGGCGTGAAACAGTGATGTTCCTCAGTAACAATCACAAAACGAGAACATACAGGTGTAAATCCCTATCCATAGCATATCTGAATATCCCTATAAAAACCAGTACGTTTGTCCTGATTATGTACCTGTACTTAAGAAGGATGTTTCAAACAGGTGACTAAAGTGACACTAAACTTATGATTACTACATTTAAAATGTTTCCATGATGAGACGGTTACTGATGAAGAGCTTACACCTGATATTGCTAGTAGAGCATTTAACATGTTAAGCAGGTGCCTTGGCCCTCCCAGTTTCGCCAATGAAACCCGCTTTACCTGCAGGGTGCGAGCCACCATGGGCAGCAGGAAGGCAGCAGTTTTCCCAGAGCCCGTGTCGGCGCTGGCGATGGCGTCGCAGCCCAGGAGTGCCACCGGGAGCATTTGCATCTGAACAGGAGTAGGTGCTTCATACCCTGCCCTTTTCAGATTGACGCAGAGGGTCGACGGGAAGCCACAGTGCTCAAACTCAATAATGGGCCGGCAGACATGCTGGCCCTCTGTTACAATGCCCAGATCCCGCTTCACTCTAAGCACCTGCTCCTCTGTCAAACTGGAAATGAAAGGGTCCTCTCTATAGATATAGCCCTGCTTCTGGTCTGCAGCATTCCCAAAGGTGGGAGAGTCTACATCAGTCGGCATTAAAGGAAAAGTCTTTTCCATTTCAATGACATCAGGAGTTCCCTTTGGTCCCAAACCCATGCGGGCCAAGTGACTGGCTTTGCACTCAAGACTACACACATCATTATCGGTCTTGTCGCAGATGTACTCTCCATATCGACCGCACATGATGCACACGGGCTCCCCCGGTTCGGGCCATCGCTGGCTCTTTTTGAAAGACTTTACTGGTTCATCCTCTTCCTGGTCCCCGTCGCCACTCTTTGTGCTGTGCTCTCCTTGCGAGAGATCTTGTTTTTTATCGTTAAGATCCTCGGACCGATGCTCCGGCGACTGTGAGGTGCAAAACTCTTCAGGTGGTTTCGGGGGGGATTTATTTTCCAAGACCTTATCATTTATTCGCTCTGGGATCACCTTACATTTCTTTGTGACTTGACCTGGGCTGTCAGATGGTCTTTTCACTTTAAGTGATCTTGGCATAAACATGTTGGCTCTGAAATCAACGGAAACGAAAGAATATTTCATGAAATGCAGAATGATCCTTTTGCCTTCACAAAACTTTTTACAAACGTGCATCAGTGTGCAATGATATTTTACGGAAAGTATTTCTATAATATAAATATATAATATAAAGTATATTCAATTGTGATGTCAACAATATTACTACACGGTTGTTACTCACGTGTTGCTGGAAATCCGATAATTTTGATATGTTCAGCGACTACCTGATTTGCATGGAAAAATGAAATGCACGACTTCAAATGCTATTTTATAACTGGACACAAAACACTTAAAATTCAGCAAAATTTCAGCATACATCTCTATCATCGAATTGTACTGTGTGTTTGCTGTCGTCTAATGATGATGTAATGATAACTGGCATTGTGGGTATTGGAGTTTAGGAACATTCAGAACGGATGTAGATATCTAAAAGGTTGCTTGAATTATATTTTAGCATTTCTTTATTTAGTTGAAACAAACGCAAATGTACTTTTTATATTTTCAATTATTTAAGTGGTTTCAGGGGGGAAAAAAACTACCGGAAATATATATATATAAATTAATATTATATACGAAATTGTATTTTCATTAAAGAAATCCTAATATTTTATGTGGAGAGTTTTAATGGGAACATATTTGATTCATATGAGGTATAATTCTTAGTCTTATTCTGTAATATGTAATAAATCATTATTTTAATGATTGGAAAAACATTTGAGCAAAAATATATGAAACAGAAATGGGTCAGAGGACATAAAGTCAAATATAAGCAATGCAAATAAAATTCCCATATTTTAAATTCATTATATGATTACGCTACTGGCCAAATAAGCGGTTTGACTATTACTTGGCTTTTGCGGGGATTGCGCATGCGCAAAAGGCAAGCTTTCTATTAGTGCGGCAGGAAAACCCGCAGCCAGCAGAGATTGAATGTGTGCTGGAGAACCGTAAAAGGAAATTATTAAATATGGGATTAAGAACCATCTGTGAATCGATTTCGGATTAAAGGGCACAGATCATGGAGACGCGTTTGCTGTTTTGTGGGAAGCTGAGATGCGCGTTTTTTTGGTAGACCTGCAATCGCCCTAGTCTTTTCGGCATTTGACGGCTATGCCAGAGAATGGATGAAAATTTCAAGCGGGCATAGCGCAGTTGACTTTGTTTTCCTATCCGGATTTACATCAAAACCAAATGCGGCTGATTGCCATAGTTCTCAGAAACGTTGCATAATAATCTATATTAGGTACCAGTCGGCAAATCCTTAATTTCCAAGAAGCACAAACAAGCAAATTTATTGCACTAAATTCCTTTGGTGGGATGTCATCGGTTTTCATTCCCTAACTGTCAAGCCGCCTATTTCGGAAGACTTGAGCAAATATTTATTTTAAAATATATATCTTACTATGGGTGATGCAGCAGAATCCAAGGAAACCAAAAAGACATTTATTGTTCCGGCGATAAAGCCATTTGACCATTATGACTTTGGCAGGGCTAAGATCTGCTGTAGTCTGACATGGCTGGTGGCAAAAGCATATGGGGCAGGTAGGTGGCGTCTTTTCTTGTTTTATTTTGACATCATCTATATATGGGATTATGTTTTTAAATAACTCACTGTAACATCTCGATTATGTTTACCAAAACTTATGTTGGTTTGAGCTTGGCGTGAAACGACACTAAAAAAGAATCGTATTTAAAGTTGTCAAAGGTCAGTATATCACTATAGAGAAACCTTACGGCGCTCGGGAAATACTTACCGGTTTGTAACATCTTATCTTTTCGTTCATTCGTTCCTTCCTTCTGTCCTTTATTTATTTTATAAATTTCTGTAATAATTGTACGATTATTTAATCTGAGGTGCGTTTAGGCTTTTAATGGGGACAGTCAATCAGGTCCTGTCCTCCCACCCGTAACGGACAGGGACACGGTTTTTTACCTGGGAGGGTGTGATCGTCCTATTCTATCTAAGCAATAAATAATCGTCTCTAATAATGCTCGCTTTTATTATTTAGAAATAGCTATTCAGGCTGCAAAACTGTATCATACTTAGTAGATAGCTATGTAGCAGGATAGGAATAGAGTACCCATTACTTGGATGTGATGAAAGCATATTGACCACTTAATTTATGATGGTTTGAAATACTGAATGATACACATCAGTTGATAGGCTAAATAAACATATTTAGTGTGTGGCTAAAGAACACCATTTGTTTTACTGGTAACCACTATGAACACATACCAATCTTAATGCATGCCGAATCTGTAATCTTTTTTTTTTTGATTCAGTAAGACTGAATTATTTATCCCTTTGAAAATGGGTTGCTACCAGAACAGCATTAAAATGGCTGTTTTTTGCTTAAATGCAGTTGGGCTACAGTTGAACATTGATCTTATTGTCTTGTTGCTTTGCAGCAAGAATCATTGTTACAGCCTGCAGGTAAAAATAAAACTATTGTATTGAAAGCTTGTTACCTCCATCCACTCTGTCTTTCCACGGTGCCACTGCTCTCTCTCTCTCTCTCTCTCTCTCTTACATGAGATTGACAACAAATGCAACAATCCTCCATCCGCTTTGCCCTAGTGGTGAAATAAAAAATGGTTCCCCACCATTAGGATAAAGGGTCAAAGGCCGCGTCTCTCCCCCTTAATTGTTCTCCTTAGAGTTTATTTTTTTCTCTGCCATTTCTTTGAAGAAGAGGGCAAAACTTCATAATGACAGTTGTGGTAAAAAATATCATTAAAGTAACTTTTTTCCCCATTTCTCTTTCTGTCTTTTCATCTGTGCAGTCTGGAGTAAAGAGATCCAGATGTCTGCCCTGTTAGATGGGCCTTGGATTGAGGAAGGATGTTTTTCCAGAGTTGTGTGAAGAGACACATGCTTTGGAGAGTAGCTGGATATTATGTGCTATTTACTTCTGTGATGCATGTTGCCATGCTACATCAAGACATTTGGGAAGCCTGTCTCTGCCTTATGCATTTAAGTATAGACCATTACATTTCAGAACTCCAAAGCCTCTTTTATGCGCCTGCAGTGAACCTTTTAATATAGTCTGTAAAGGGCTTATCTAGAACAAGCTACAAAAGCTTTTGCTTTCATGGAGAAATGTTTGGAGTTTGCTGAGCCGAGCATGCGAAATGAATCAAGCTCCCTGTGTAATTTATGAGGCATCAATGGGATATTTTTGTAGCAATCTTTCCATTCAGTTGTGCTTTCCTGTGGAAGCCGCTTCCTGATGGCTTCCCCAATGACGACGGACAATAGGAGAGATCTTCGACAAAGGAGCTTTTGATTAACTTTGTGGCTTCTCTGTCTTCAGAGTATAATTTTTTGCCTTGATGTATGTTGATTTTCAGAGGTGGGGGAAGCTCATCCAGGGTAAAAAGCGTTAGAAACATACCTCTGTGTGTTTATGTTTCATCTTCGTTTCTGTTACAATGCCTTGTGGCTTCATTGGATAATTGTACGTCTGTCTGTGACCCTTTAGAGGTCGAAGCCTCTTCATTGTCTCTTCTATTAATCTTACATCTCATGTAACAGATTTAAAGGTGTGTTGTAAGGCCAATGCTGAACAAATGATTTCTTTTGTTAGTTATTCAAGGACAGATTATTTATTAGTATGTAAATTATATGCCTGGCATCTAAGATGTGCTGTATCCTGTTAAGCCACAAAAATAGCCATCCATCCATTTTCTGTAACTGCTTGTCCTCCTCAGGGTTGCGGGGGGTCTAGAGGCTTGCCACAAAAAAATCTTTCAGTATAAATCCAATATTTATGTTGAGAAAACATGGAATTTCCCTTCAGACACTCCCAGGTATGTGATACCTATAATTCATACTTTTGATCGGGTCTGGTAATTCAGGCCTAAACCCCAGCTAGGCCCAATAATTTTTTCCTCAACCTCCCCTAGGCAGCGATGGAGATGGGTACCTTATCTACCCAGGTAAATACTCACCGAGCTCTTGCTGGTGTTATATGCATTGAGTACCATATACAGCAATGGATACTATTAAATGGGGAGTATCAACTAATAGTGTAGTGGTTCTGAAACCAGTACCAAAACCTTTGATACAAACGTTCACTGTTTTGTGCCGTGCTTGTGTCTTCTGGAATCGTGACATCCTCAACTCCAACCCACTGCCATCACTGCAGATGCAGCCTGTTGAACTCTCATTATGTTACTGTCACAAAACTCATTTTTCATTTCACAATTAACACTGTAACACACTGTAGCACATCACAAAGTTATTATTCTAGTTAGGGCATGCTGTATTATTTTGTAAATATTACACACTACACATTCTATTGTCTGCCATGACTGCATGAGTCACATGACCATTTTGGTGTAATCATGATGGAGTGATCTCCGCCTGCGGTACAAGCTAGGCTAGTTTCATTAGCTCAAGATGGATGATAATCTTGAGATTGCAGAGCCCCGGACACATTAAAGTCAGTAGTGTGGGAACATTTTGGTTATCCAGTGGAGTATACGGTTGGCAATCATGTCATACACAAAACACACAATTCAGTGTTTCAGAAAACTTCCACAAGTGGCAATCAACACTGAGATATGCAAGCGCGTATCAGAAGACATGATTCCAACATTGAATTCAATTTTTTTCCCTGTTTTTTTTTTTTAAGTCACCCCTCCCCCCCTCAAAAAAAAAAGTATGAACCAAACCATGGCTCAAAAATAGAGGTCTGAACTGAACCATGGATGTGGAGAATCATGACACCCCTAATAACAAACAGGTTAGGCATCTGTGCCTGGTTATCTGTTCAAATTCCCTCGCTGGTATTTTAAGATGCCTTCTGTCACATTCTAATGACATATTCACTGTTTTAACTTTTCTATGAACTGGGGGGGGAAAAAGATTTTTGAGATGTTTATATGTGTTGAGTGTGAAAAGAAACACCTGCCTTTTGTACTCATCAGCCCTTGTTCTGTGTGTGCTAGAGCAATATTGCAGAATGTCTAGAAATACAGGAGGAGACATACAATGGGAGTTGGGTTTAAATCTGCTGTCGCTCTCCGTGTCAATGGAGAATACGGTGTACCAAGGATATCACTAGTTCTTTCTTTGCCTGTGCTATTACTTAAGAAATACAATGTGACCAATGCAAGAAGGGACTGGAGGGTGCAAGGATGCAAATCATAATCTATGTCTGTCTGGCACATAAGCTGCTAACGTTACCAAGATAAACCCCTATAACAGAAGGAGATGGTGATGAATCGCAGTCCTGAGTCAGGGATGCTGCGACCACCAGAAAGCATTTAGTCCTGAAAGTAAACTGTAAATTGATGATGGAGATGGGTCATTGCTGCTGGTCTGGGTCATTTTTGCATTCTATATACAGAATTTTTCAGAAATACAGCTGGATCAGTCTTGTTATAAGGATCTGGGACGTTTTATCAGGTTTTCTAATCAATTTGTATTTTTCAGTCTATTGATTCCCTTTGGAAAAGTAACTGTAAAAAATGTGTGAGACTAAAATTTCATTGAACATCATATCTATAATGTTGAAATTATGTTAAAAAGGCAGAAAGTAACAACATAGGAGTATGTACAGAATCATTTGTTAGTTGTCAAAAGCCAAAAAAGTTAATATAAGGCAGCAGAACCCTAGAGATCAGTTTTGCAAATGGATAAAAATAAAGACCATTGTTCAGAAACTGAGGTAACTGGTTTCCCTCAAAACCTGGCATTCACCGGGAGATGCTCACCATGCCAGTAAAATGGACGACAGCACCAGAGTCTTGTCAGCAGAAAATATTTCTTTCTGTGTCGTTTAATGGACTTCTTCTTAAATGACACCTTAAACCCCAGTCAAACTTTCACTACTTGAGGGGATATTAGGAATTCAGTGCCAGAGATTTGTATTTTCAAATATGTATTTTATGATCTCAGGGTAGAGGAGGTGTCAGCTTTGAAAGGCAGAACCGCGGTAAACAGTCATTAAGAATGCAGTAACTCGCCATCTTCTCCCCAAAGATCAATTTTCACTCCGCTCTCCGCCTTGCTTTATTGAGGAGTGGAATTGTGAATTATTGACTGATGCTAGTTGCTTTTCCCCCCCCACTCCTGTGATCAGGCTTCATCTTCCCCACTGCAAGGGAAGGCAGAGATAATTCTGGAACCACGGTTGCTGGTGATAAATTGATTGGGCTTGATTTCACGGTTTCCCTGGCAACATGTTTCCACCCATGGATGGTAATGTTGGCAGGTTAGCTGTTATCATAGTAGCATTTTTGGTGTAAATCATTGTCTCAAGGGGTATTTTTATCTTCCCTCTAAAGTCCAACGCTGCAACGCAGTTTTCACTTTCAACACGTGGATATGATGGCAGTTTTGTATATGCTAATTAAGACATGTTGGGTTTAATCAGACTTTTGTGTTAACTGAACTTTGCAGCAATCTGAAATAAAAAAATTTAAGGCTTTAAAATGAGGAAGAACAATCATTGACTCTAGATGATGTTCTCTTTAATTTTTTCTTTCTGGCTTGGTTGGTTGGATGGTTCAGCATGCTTGTCACAAACTTGCCCTGTTGCATCTAGAATAACTGATCTAGAGCAACATAAAAATCTGCACAAGCAGATTGAAATATCCCGAGCCTGCAGCAAGGCATCTGTGCGCTCAGTCCTGGCATATTCTGCTTAGCTTAGCAAGAAAACTGTGCTGTAAAAAAACAACCCATTCAGTTTTACGACAGTTTAACTTCTCAGTGTGAACACAGGAGCCTTAAAACGATATAGGGCAGGGGGGAGGCAAGCTGGTATCCAGCAGGATTTCTATCCTACCTTGTCTGCGATGAACCAGACCTGATCTGGTGGGATAGAAAGCCTACTGGATACCAGCAGTCCAGGATCAGGCTTGCCTACCCCTGATATAAGTATGTGTATCACAAGGTTTTAATACCAAGCAGTAAGGCGAGACATTGCAGGTGTTTTATGGATACACTTGGAATTGTATTGCATTAGACCTTAAATGTGTTTGCCACTGCAACAGCATAGAATGCATTTCATTGTATTTGACTGTTTATCCGTGTTGATTTGGGATCCTCTCTTAGTATCAATTCAAACGAAATCGACTATTTTACCAAAGGGGATGTAGAGAACACTTGATGATTTGCCAAGTCCTGTTTCCCATGAAAAGACTAATATTCTATTACCTTTGCATCCTGTTAGCAGTCGGCAGGGTAAACGCTATATTGTCAGGCATTATGGTAAGAGATTTCATGTTTATAAATGGGTTATCGATGCTGCTACTCAGTGTGGAGTTCATGGGTACCTTCTGAAGTTATTTTGTGCAAGAATCATTGCTTTCACTAAGGCAATTTTGCTGAAATAATTCAGGAGTCTGTGCAGCTTACGGCTGTACCCATATTCTGTACCCATATTCTGTACCCATTTATGCAGGTGGATATTCCAGTCAAGTCAAGCCATGTGGGCTTTGTCATACAATCCATGTACAGGTTTAGGGGGGCATGAAATAACATCCCCCCAGGACTCCAGTGCAAGACACAGCAGCTTCGATGGGGGAGGGGTTTCACAGTACTTTAAGTGCAAAACACGGCACAGCGTGACACAGGGGGGCTGGACACAAGGGGATTTATATAAAAATATATATATACACATACATACAAACACACACAGGTTTGTTATGTCTTTGTGGGGACTCTGCATTCATTTATATGGGGAAAATTGTAATCCCAACATGACGACCTTAACCCCTACACACACACATACATACATTTATATGTATATGTATGTATATATATGTATGTATATTTGTTTTCAGACAGCATCCCGGCCGACATGAAGGAGCCCTTCTACACGGACCAGTACGAGCAGGAGCACATGAAGCCGGCAGTGGCGGAGCTGATGCTGTCAGCGGAGCTCTACTGTCGGGCCGGGAGCCTCATCCTGAGGAGCGACACCGCCAAGCCCCTGCTGGGTCACGACGCCGTCATCCGCGCGCTCGCCCAGAGGGGCCTCTATGTCACCGACCAGGAGCGGCTCGTCACCGAGCGCGACCTGCGCCAGAAGCCCATACTGCTGGTGAGTGGAGCAGAGGGCAGGACCAGGGCGGGGAGCAAACCCACAACCTCCTGGTGTGTCACTTATTGCTGCCTGCTGAGATGTTATTTGCTCTTTGTCAGCTCTTTGCTTTTTTAACGCAGCTGCATTCCCTGAAATGTTGTTTCTCTGTCTTTTGAGGATGCAAATATCTTGCATCTGTAGTAGTAAATCCAGACTAGGACACGTCGCTGGTCAAGAAGTTGGCAAGACTTAGTAAAGTTCTTAAACAAAAGCATTGCTGTGTGAATGACAAACATGGTGCTGGTTCAGAACCATTACTTGATCAGTTTGGAGTAATGTTACTGTTTTTGAAGCAAGTGCTAACTGTCTCTCAGAGCTGGAACTTTATGGAATATATTATGGGAGAATTTAATGCAGAAATTTCTGACTGTGGCAGGTATCATTACAAGGGCTTTTCGTTTACATGTAAGCCAAGTTGCCATATAAAAAATATTTTCATTTAGTATCTACGGGCTTTTACTTGTGTGTGGTTTAAGTTCCGGCAACAAAAGAAGTCATGATAAATGGGAGAGCTTTTAATAATATTCCTGTTTGAGATTGTACAACATATCCTGAGCCGAAGTATACAGAGTGAAATTAAAGGTGAAACATTAATATTTTAAACATTTGAACATTGAATTTTGCATTTATAGCACAATAGTGAGTCTGTTTTGGGGATCTGGATTTCATCCTACAAACCTTTTGCTCATCAGAATAAAATGCTTGACCGTAATTCTAAGTGTTGGTTGCGTTTTACCGATATAGTGCAATATCAGGGAAGTTTATGGTTTTGGGAGCTGTTCTTGTATCTCTAAGATTTACTGGACCAATTACGCTGAGTGAAAAATGCTGGAAGAGGTTTTCTTGGAGTTTGCTAAACAGCTTAATGCATGCCTTGCATTTAGGAATTGAGCCTTATAATAACAATGGATGGTTATGTTCTCAGTACCACAGGAAGTAATTGTATAGTGTGTGGTTATACTGGAATAAGATGCCTAGAGAATATTGAAAGTTAAATTATTTGCCAGCAGCTTAAAATGGACATGCCACATTTAACTCTTGCTACGGCTACACTTTTATTAGTGGTCTGTGGGTCATTATTATGTTTATAGGGAGTAAATCATCATTGCAGCATTGTGGAACCCCTGTTTGGACGGCTGTTTTGGGGGTAAAGATACTATATTGAGAGATTAGCCCACCACAAGGTCACAGGAGTGAGCTGGCAGAGATTATAGGATGTATGGATGCTGGCTACTTGCATTATTTAAGAATGGCACCTCATGTTTTTGTTGGGTTAAAATACTTTTTATTTTGTGAATGAACAGAAGAATTGTATATTACTGTCATTGAACCGAAAGCCACATGATCGTGAGTAACAAGTGGTGTCTTTTAAGTACACGGCCCTCGCTTTTCCAGGGGCTCTGTGTATATAGACGGCCATGTGATTTCGATCTTGTTTGTTATAATCCTGAAAAACAAACAACAAAAGCAAGCCGTGATGATTACGTAAAGCCTTTCGAGCAGACATCTGAGTCTGTTAAATGTTTCTGTTGCGTTTTAAAGATGCAGTACTTCTGCATTTGTGCATGGACTGGACAGTGGTACAGAGTTTAACGCATTGCAGTAACGTGTCTGCCTTTGCCCAAGGAACTCTGAATGTGTTGTGTATTTACGTTTACTTTACATTCATTTAGCTAATTCTTTTGTCAACAAGAACATACAAGTGAGAACTTGCTTGCTTTTGGGATTAAGAGCCTTGTTCAAGGGCCCAATGGTGATATGAGTATTCCGCCTATGACAGGATTCAAACCAACGACCTTCCAGACACAAATCCCTAAACCACGGAGCTACACACTTTCCAGTAAGCAGTGAGTAGAGGTGGAAAGTTCAGGTGCAGAAAGTACAAATCCAGACCAAGATTTTGTGTCAACCAACTAGTTGAGTACTCTGTGACTGTGACTCTTTATACTCTACTGGGTGGTTGAAACAAATTTTTGGTTTGGATTTGGTCTTTCCGGACCTGAACTTTCCACCTCTAATAGAAAATCAGGAACAGTTGGATCTATGAGTAATTAATAACATGGAAACAATGTAGCTCTGTAGGCACTTACACTTCCTTGGTCCATGGCATATACTGTACCTCTCCTCTGTTCAGCATGAAATATGCATGAATTCCTGTTAGGATTTCTGTCACATTTCTGTTCATTCCTAAATAGGCCAATTAAGCAATTTTCCAACCATGAAGGTAAAAGTAGGTTGAACCTGTTAAGTCATATAGTCCAGAAAAGGAAAAGGTTTAAGGAAATGAGGCGGATTTAAGGATGCAGTCCTGTAATCGATTGTGCTTCTCTGTAACCGTTCCTCAATTGAACCCCCAGCATTACTGATGTTATTTTGGGAGTGTAAAGTTTTTGGGAATCTGTCCTGGTTTTTTGAGCAGAAGATCTTTTTGTCAGAACCAGTGCGTCTCCCTAGCTGGGCTCTTCAGTGCACATGCTTGTCAGGGAAAGCAGTATCCTGACCAACTGTTACCTGTTACTCCCATCTGCCAGGCTTTCCACAGTGTAATGTTTAAACAGTTATTTTAAGTTGCCTTCTAGAGATTTTTTCTTGAGGATAATCCAATAATTGAACATGCTGAATACAGTCAGTGGCTAAGGCTTTAGATGTTTTGTGGTTTTTGAAAGATAAAGTCAATCCTCAGGACATGACAAAACAGATGGTAATTGTGGTTCTTAATTGAGTCGGTTTCAGGGTGCTGGGTCTCTGGTTGATACTGTAGCTTGCTTTAGGTGCTCACTGTCAAGAAGGGAAGCTGTGTGGTCGGGTTTGGGCTGGACAGCACTACTAAGGTTCTCAGGAGGCTCTTACTCAGGCTTGTCTGGCCTTATAAAAGGTAACCCCATTCAAATTGTAGACCTCTATTTACTCGGAGTATGCTGCCACAAATGAAGGACATCTATCATAGTCTGGCCTTCAGACTTTTATTAAAACTCTTTGTATTATAAGCTGCCTCACGGTACGTGAAAGTGATATGTATGAAGAAGAAAAGAGAGAGATGAAATTACTGGAAATTTCCCATTGCCAAGTAGTACTCATTATCTACACTGTAGAAAAAAATGTGCATCCCTGGTACATTTTGTTCTCAAACATCAATGGTACAAAAATGTTCCTCAGAGTCCATTTAGATACCTGCAGCTAGGGTCCAATTGGCAGACACTTAAAGGTACAACCCCAATGACCCTCAAAGGTACAAATAAGTAATTGGTACTCTGACAGTGTACCAATAGTGTGTCAAACAAGTTGATGGTTTTGCTGCAAGTTGTAAACAGACAAACCAGTGCCAAGAAATGCAATATGATTATTGCGATATATCGCGCAGATCTGAAATGATATATCATGCAGCCCTGCTCCTACCCAGTAAATAGAAAATGAGTAGGCATGTAGCTGGATGTTTGAGTTTGGTGTGCTTGTGAAATAAGAGGCATGGATAGAGACCGATTCTTCACCTGCTTCAACGTGTGTGTGTCAGGTGTAGGGTTGCAAAATTCTAGGAATTTTGCATTAATTCTCATACATTCCCAATAATTCCCATGGAAAGTTTCCAATTTGGAATAGTTCCCCAGCTTAACTTCCCATGGAATGGAAAGTTTCCAGAAATGTACTGCCCCTTTGCAACTCCAATTGGGTGTGTGTTCATGATATGAACAATGGCATTCATTTTGCCGTCAGTCTACAGCTGAACAAAGACGTGATGATACGGTTTTTCACTTGCTATTAGCTGGTCTCCAGACAAATGTAATGTCTGTAGTAATGGAAGGTGGCTGTGGTGTCTTGGGGTCGGCCTCTATATGTAGTAGACATTTGGAAGCAGCATTGAAGAGTTATGCTCCTTCTTACTCCTCCCTGTGGTCTACATACCTATGTAAGGGAGCATTGATCATCCAATCTCCTTCACTAGCGGGAGGTGGAACACCCTCACTCTTGAAAGCGCTGAAAGGCAGACAAAGCTCCAAGCTCGATCTGCCGGATCCGCCCTACAACCGAGCGCTTGCTGGAGCACCTTAAAGGGTGTATCCGCAGGGACAAGCTTGTACTTGCGGACGCAGCTGTTGTGCTTTTGAATGAAAGCCTCCTGTGAGGCTGAAACACATTGAGCGTGTGCTGAGTGTGGCAGGAGAAACCGCAGGACACTGGTAGGCTCTTGGCCCTACCTCTGCATCCTTTTTTGTTTAATGACCACTGAATTTTCCAAAGAACTATCTAGAAATTTGTCATTCTAGAGGAAGGCAAGTTTTGGATGTTTCTTTTCTGTGGTACCATAGAAATGATTAGGTTGAACCAATTCATTTGTTAAACATTTCCTGACCACATGACATTTATATAAGGCCCCCTGAGGCGCATTAAATGAACTTTTTCTCATGTTTTCATAATTCATGTTTGGATAATGAGTACTAGCTGCTTTTACTGCACTGCGGGCAGTGACTAACAAGGGAATGTTCTTGCTCCATTGGCTGGCCTCTTTCAGGTGCTCATTCACCAGAAAATGTTGCCTGAGTAGAAAGTTCTTGATGTGTTAAGACTTGCATTGGATTGTGCAGTTAGCAAATTGTGCAGCATTGCAGGTCTGGTCCTCTTGGTAATTCTATGCACAGACTCAAATATAAATATATATTTTTTTGTTAGAGGTATAGTATTTGGGGGCGGTGCGCGGCTCAGCGGGTTAGCACTTACAGCATCTGTAATTGGAAGGTCGCCGGTTAAAATCCCATAGTCGGCAGAATGATTTCACCATTGGACCCTTAAGCAATTGCTCCAGGGACTGGCTGACCTTGCTTTTTCAAAGATACCACCATCTCAGAGATATCACCATCTCAGAGATACCACCATCTCAGAGATACCACCATCTCAGAGATATCACCATAGAGATAGTGATCATTAAACACTTAATGCATATTAATTCAAAACAAATGATCTAT